AACCTATTCCAGTAGGTGATGGTGGTGGTGGAGGAGGAGGAGGAGGAGGTTGCAGTGACAAGTTTGTTGCTTGTATCTCTTCATTCTTCGAAGTGGTGTTAGAAACCTCCATTATTTCGCCACTTGAGAAATGCCTCATTGTGTGTCTTTCATCAATGCCTAGAAAATGTATGTGAATAAAATATACACTGTCGGAACAAATGGATCTCTTGCCTCTTCTATCCTCCAATTCTCTGTTATCGACTGATGGATACGTCTCTCTTTCATTCAGATTCGTTTCCTTATTTCCTTCAACATGTGTTGGTCCAGAAACAACTTGACTTCGAATCTTAGCTGTCAGGCTCGAAATGATTGCTTGTTTTTCCAAAAGCTCCGACCTCAGATTTGAATTTTCCGAAACAAGTTGTTCTTTGTCTAGCTTACACGAACAAGTGAGTGAACTTTCACTCCACGTAGAAACATCTGAAGAAACGCGACGCTGCGAAGCCTTCTCTGCCTCTCGTTGAGCATAACAAGCCTCCGCCAACTGTTGTTCCAAACTCCGGATGCGCTGTTTGCAAAAGACGTTTTGTTCCTTCAACTTCTCTATTTCAAGTTCTAGTTTTTCTTGCGAGCAACGGCTTTCTTTTAACTGTTGATTTTCTTGTTCCAATTGGCGTAAAACTTGAAACTGTTCATACCGTCCTCCTTGACATTAAAAACAACTTACCACTTCGAAGAACCAGATTTTCTCTATGACTCTCTTGAATGAGACTTAAAATTTTCTGTTTTTCATCAATGGCTATGTTCTCTGATCTTAAGAAAGATGATTCCAAAGTAGCGTGCTCTTGAGGAACGCCTAACCACTTCTCTTTCAGCGAAAACCCCAATAACCGAATATATTTCACCTACTTGAATCAAAAGATTCTTCTTGTTCATTATGATTGTATGACTTTTCTTCCGAGTTGGAGGGGAATATTCGACGTAGCATGTCAAAGTGCAATTCAAAATAAACTCATCTCGAAATAGTTTTTGCATTTTTCTCCAGGAATGATTATTGAAGGAAGAGCCATTCATGAAGACGGAAAGCCTTTGTTCATAATGTATTGGCTGACTTGCACTACAGTGTTGGAATATTCTAGAATAAATGTTCTCTCTTCAAACTATTCGTCACACTTGGATTATATATATATATATATGGATAGATACTTGTCATGGTTGTTATGGATAACCACTTATGAAAGACAAAAGAAATAGAGTTGAGTTGCGACATCGACTTGAGTCTAAAATATTTACAAAGATCTGCTTTATAAGAACGACAACACTTCGTGCAAAAGTCTCATGAAAAGCAGTATATCCATTTATTGCAAAACTGGTGTACCTGAAACAAATAAACTCTAAAAATATCACATAAACCACAGCACTCTCGACAGTCTTCTCATCAAAGAAACTCCGGCAATAACAAGTCTTTCACCAATTCAATCCTTTTCTGTCATTGCTGTGAGTTGCTGCTCGACTTCTTCATCAGTCAGAATACGAAAACGTGGATTGTCCTTGGATACTACAGCAACTTCCACATCAGATGGCTTAAGATCAGCAGCTACCACACTTTGAAGAGTTGCTAGAGCAAGTTGAACTGTTTCTTCATATGAAAGTTTCTTTTCTTCTTCTTTCAACTTTTTTTCCAAATAGTTTATAGCCTCTTGCTCTTTAGCTCCTGCTGCACAACCTCTATAGCCAATATAATAACCTGCAGGGTCACATTTGTACAACTGCGGGCCTCTCTCGTCATCCATACCAATAAAAATAAGAGCTACAAGTGATAGTAGGCCAAGAGAAAATCAAATGAATATGCAAAAACTTACAAACTCCCAAGGGTCTCATATATGCATGTTGCGTATAGACTTGATTGATATCGGCCAATCTTTTCGCTATTTGATCCACAGGAATTTCATATCCAAACTTGAACTTGAAATCGGCTGCTTCAGACCTTGTTCTTTGCAACTGTGCTCTCGCGTCCGCTGTAACAAATAAATATTATTTACGAAGAGCACCAAAATCAAGCACTTACTAGCAAGTCCAGTAAAAATACAACCGTGGTGATCAGAAACCCTGAAAACATTCGTAACTGACTTGGGGTCAATTAGTTTATCTGGAACCTAATCAAAAAAACCGTCCGTGTCGACTCGTGAGTTTTCAACAAAAATCAAAGTTTCTTACCTTCTTCTGAGTCACACCACAAACAGAATCTACACCTTTTACAGCAACTGTTGTAATTCCTACTGATTTCACTGCTTTGAAAGCATATTCCACTTGATATAGTCGTCCCTCTGGAGAAAATATTGTTATATGGCGATCATAACCCGCACTACTTCCTCGACTCATTGGGAACCAATAATTTGTTGAGAAATAAAATGGTCCAGTTGGAATGTCGCATGTATGAAAACACGTATCCTGAACCCGAGGATGTAGTCATGGTCCAAGTAAAAGATATTCAGGAGATGGGTGCGTATGTCCAACTTCTCGAGTACAACAATATCCACGGAATGATCATGTTATCTGAACTTTCCCGCCGAAGAATTCGCTCAGTGAACAAACTTTTACGAGTGGGACGTCAGGAAGTTTGTCTCGTAGTACGTGTGGATAAAGAAAAGGGTTATATTGATTTGAGCAAACGCAGAGTAACACCCGAAGACCTTCAAAGGATGGAAGAAAAATGGAACAAAAGTAGGGCAGTTCATTCTATTATGAGACATGTTGCAGAAACAGTGGAAGTTGATTTAGAAGACTTGTATCAACGTTGGGGTTGGCCTCTATATCGACGTTTCGGTCACGCTTATGATGGTTTTCGCCAAATATTGGTAGATCCCTCCATTTCGAACGACTTGGAAATAACTGAGAAAGAAAAAGAAGAGTTGATGAAGAATATACAACGTAAACTAACACCAACTGTAATGAGGTTTCGAGCGGATATAGAAGTGTATTGTTTCCGCTTTGAAGGTATCGATGCTGTTAAGGAAGCTCTGTTACTTGGTGAAAGTGAAGGAACGGATGAAAGCCCAGTTAAAGTTAAACTAGTAAAGCCACCTCTTTATGTCGTAACTACCAATTGTCTAGATAAGACGCAAGGTATCGATATTTTGCAAAGAGCAGTGGAAAAGATAAAGACAAAGATTCTGGAGAAGAATGGCAAATTTACTATGAAAGAAGAAGTAAGTGAAGCTGTCCTTTTAACTACGACTGAAATTCTGTCCAGCCACGAGCTATTAGTGATAGAGATGATAGGCTCTTGTCTCGATTGATGGACGAGTTGGAAGAAAGAAATCGTGAAGTTAGTGGAGATGAAGAAAGTGAAGAAGAAATAATAATAGAAGAAGAAGTAGAAGAAGAATAATAAAACTTGATCGTATTAGATGGGCTTAAACAAATTCTTTGATTCCAACGAAAAATGAAATGAAGTTATTTTGGCTTGTAGTTTTCCATATGAAACGTATGTGACGATTCTTTCAAAAGTTAAATGGTATACAACAAAATATACAGCTGTTTGGCAAGATGGAAGAATATGATATTATTCCGTAGTAAAATTCGCTACGGAAAGAATCCAAAGACAAAAGATACTGTGAGGATGCGAAGAATATTCGAATATTCCCATACCACCTGTCCCAAAGATTTTGTTCATTTGATTGTTGAAAAGAAGAGCTGATTTCCGTAAATTGTTTTATGATGATGACTCGTTCAAATAATTATATCGTTGTTTGCGTAACTCTACTTCTCCAACTCAGTGTCGTGATTTGTGTGAGTTCAAGCAATGTTACAACCAATTCCTCGTCACTTCCATTCTTTGACCATGTTATCATAATCATGATGGAAAACACAGGAAGAGCCAATATTACAGAGCACTCCAGCGAAATGCCTTTCATTAATGAACTGATCAAAACAAAGATGTACGCTTCTCATTATCATGGCTATACCAATCCAAGTCTTCCAAACTATATAGCAATCACTGCAGGTTCCAACTATTGGTCATTTTCAGATGATCCCAACCAGGTATGCGTACTACCACTTTTAAGGAAAGCTTATATCTGACTCTTTGAATATCAGACTTTTCCTCATACCAATATAGCTGACCTTCTTGAGAACAAAGGTATGACTTGGAAAAACTATGCCCAACATATCCCATCAGTAGGTTTCCTCGGAAATTTCTATCCTAGCAATTCTTCGACCGCGTTATACGTCAAAAAGCATACTCCATTTGCACTGTATCCCCAAATTACAGAGAATGCAACTCGTGTCCGGAACATAGTCCCATATAGCCATCTCATGACAGATCTGGAAAGCGGAACTTTACCCAACTATTCCTTTATTACCCCAGATGTTTGCCAAGATATGCACGGACAAAGTGGAAACCTCTGTCCTTACTCCAACTTGACATTACTGTGGACTCAAGGTGATAAGTTTGTAGAAGATTGCGTCACAAACATAACCTCCTCCAAAATATGGCAATCTACCAACTCTGTTATCTTCCTCACATGGGACCAGTCAGACTATGACAATAATAAGTCTACTGACGGATGGGAATATGTAACTGCAGGGCCAGATAGCCCTGTCTTGAAAAAGGGAACTAAATTACTTCCTGCCGGAGGTGTCTATGGCGGTGGACCAGTTCCACTGATTGTTATGTGGAGTGAGCAACCAAACAGAACCATGGTCTCCACCACAAAGAGTAATCATTTGAACACACTCAAGACTATTCTTGAGGCATGGGATTTACCACTTCTTGGATACACTTCTGACGAACAACAAGTCCAGAGTTTTAAAGAGTTTTTCCAATGACCTAGTGTTTTGTTCAATTTCTTTGTGTGGCGTTAGTAAAACATGTCCTGATGAGTGAAAACTCAAACGTATGTTCGTGTCTTCGTGTACTTAAAGTTCAATGAGACATTCCATTCGCGCACTACATAACGTGAATCGCTTCCATGGATGTCTGTTCTGAACTGCTACCCATTTGTTCTACTGCATTATTTGTAACAGTTTCTGATTTCTGTTCCCGTTGAAAACAAACGACATTACAAAGGGGACAACGGTTCGCTGAAAGGAGCCAATGAGTAACACATTGAGCATGGAAACCATGTTGACAACGCAAAATACGAACCAAACAAGGGGGATCCATCTCTTCTAAACAAATGGCACAAATAGGCTCTCGAAAATAGCAACTACCGTTCCTTTCAGATAATGCCATTTTCCAGTTTTCGTTGGTCCTATAACCCGAAGCTCTTACTTCAGAAGAAGTTGCTTCCTGTTGTGGTATGCTGCTCGTCAACACTTCTTCACCTTGACTATCTAGGTTGGTAACTGCTGCGTCCCTTCCCTTCTTTTCTGCTTCTTCCTTCCACCAACTGTCTTCTGGCAATTCATCGTCCTCGAAACAGGGTTTTATCTTTTTATCTTGTCCATAATATTCAAACAAAGGACAATACTGGGTTATTTCCTCCAAAGTGAGACCCTTTTGTCTACCCAAACTCTGGATACTCAAACGGGGTCTCCTTACAACCCGCCTTTGCCAACGTCTAATTTCTCCCCTATGACGGAATATGACTGCTAAAACTACAATGAAACTTGCTAAAACAAGAACCACCACGAATATTGCTATCAAGGCTGACTCTGGTAAGCCTTTCATAATACCGTTTCCCAGAAGAATGTCCCCAACTACAAAAGCATTCCATCTAGAAAATGTGTCCTGTTGACTCTATTGGTAATTTTGGCTTGTCCAAAGATTGTGTTCGCCAATCAAAAGGATTTTTTGATTTTGGGAGTCTCTCATTGGTTTTTTGAAATATATCAATGCAATCAGCCCCCAGCAAGTATTCGGACTGTGAGTTACGCTTTAAACTTTGTCATTGTTAGGGCAAAGAAATAGCAACTATCTGACAAACGGAAAGGATAAGGAGGAGAATAACTTTACTTTTTGTATTTTTGATGAATATATTCTGCTTTGTATTTCATTCCTTCATAGAATAGAACGTGTACTATACCAAACTAGCATACAACGAAGAGATAGGCGAATAGACCAGTGTTAGAAAGCTACCGTCTTCTATTTATGAGTACTTGCACTGTATGCTATATGTACATTCTATCTTTATTAATTATCATCTGACGAAGTTTCGTTCGATTCCCTTGCCTCTTCTGCTATTCGAACAGCATCTGCACGTTTATTTAATTTGGTGCCTTTCTTGGCTTCAAATTCTTCAGGACGTGCATCTAAAGGGGGCTCTGGATCAACTCCATAGAGTCCCAGAACTGTACGACCATAACGACGATTCCGCAAACCTACCAACCGTTCCATAATAACAGGAGGCATTACGCCTATGAAATATGTAAAATTACTTGAAAGAAAGAAAGATATAACCATTTACCAAGCTCAATGGGATACTCGACAACTACCACCGAACCAGGACCAATCAAGCTTGACGTAGCTATGGTACTCATCAGAGTATTATAATCTATCTCTTCATATGGGGGTGTCAAAGTGACAAGTTCAAACGTTCCTTTCACTTGAAACCGTCCAGGATTATCCACAAACTAAGAAACCCTCATTCGTGTGAACTTTTTTACTTTTCTCAACAACTTACGTCTTCGTATGTCGAACAAAATGCGTCGCCCCTATCTGAAAACCGACATCTTTCCAAATTCTCTCTCACTGTTGCACAACAGTCCTACGCAACGTCATTAAGCGCCTACAAAAGTATGAAAGACTTACCGGGCTAGAGTCCACAAAGACAGCCTTACCCACATTCTGCGACAAGGCTTCTATGCCAACTGCTCCTGTACCAGCAAAAATGTCCAGTATTCTGTATTCTGGTCTCAACAACTTCATATCTGTCAACTACACAATGACAACTTGAACAATTGCTCAACTACAATTCCTACACTTACCATACAAAATAAAGCAGACCTGACTTTGGACATCATAGGTCTTATATAAACTGGAGGGTTTAAGAGTCTTCTACCTTTGACACTACCTGCGTTTACCTTTTCGAACACTCAACAAAATGTCTCTTTGCTGAAGTCTGCGAAACCTACGTAAAGTCTAGGTGGAGGTAAATCCATTCTTATCCTCTTTCCCTGAGAATATATCGTTTTCTTCACTGGAAACATGATCTTTCGACTAGCGTGAACCTTTCGTGGCAGGCTGAGATCACATGCTTTCACACTCTTGAAATCGGCAGTCTCTGTAGACTCTTTTCTTGCAATAGTTCCCTGTGTAGAAGAAAAATTTCTTTTCTGTTTGATTTGTAAGAGTTTTTCTATTTTGTTTCTGGGTGTCCTATTCAGACACCTCCAGAAACGAGGTGCGAGCGCTGACCATGCAAGCATAATCTTTCAATATCGAAACGCATTCAATCTTCCGCGGATTTTATCACTTTCCTCGTCAGAAGGTTTTCAAGGTGTAAGAAACTACTCGAAAAAAGCTGTTGTAAAGCAATGTCAAAATCTCTACAGTTTCTCTTAAACCAAAGAGAATTTGTCTTTTGACAAAGTCAAGAAAACTGTGTTGTTGCGACGTCTCTAAAAGATGAGCTCTAGCTAATTGCCAAGTTGTGGAAAAACTTGTCACGAGTTTCATTGAAAAAGTGTGCATTTATTATCGACAAGAGTCACTCAAAAACAAGAGTGTAAAATATACAAAGTGCAACGGAACGTCCCTGACTCTGGACTGGAAAATTCGATGATTGCCGGATATGCCAATCATTTCTCACTTTGAATTTCTGCCAGATGGGATGAAATCCAGTCACATCAGATCCCAAAGTGCCTATAAATAGCGAACTTTGTATCCCTCCTTTTCCTCACCATTTGTTACAACTTCGTTTGTCTACTTGTTTTAAGCCTCAAACACTCAAAACAAATGCCAAAGGAAGGAAAGAAAGACGCCCCAAAGAAGGATGCAGCAACAAAACCAGCAGGAGATACAACAAAGCCTTCCGAGAAGTCAGGTCCTGAATCCAAGTTGAAAGGAACGGGTGCTAAGAAGCAGTAAAGAAAGGAATACTTTCCGGTAAGAAGATTGACTCGGCTTATATAGCATACATATATACTTACAATAGACTTGAAAGTTCTTTATCGGTATTTGTTTGTTTCATGTCTTGAATTCATATATCATTTGTGTTATTGTTGAGTAGTGCTTGTCGTGGAGAGTTATCTTGAAATAAACGAGTATATAGTTTGAACTACTACGTTGTTATCATATCTACAGGAATTCTTTAGAATTGTTATATTGAAAAATCTTCAGAATTTTGTATTAATGAGCAAGTCCTGACGTATAAGGGCAAACACATGTTAAAAGCAATACTCGAGGTTATTCACCATGACAGAATGTTAGAAAAACTTGGTTTCTTGAATGGATCAAGGAAGCTGGCATCGAGGAAAATAACGAAAAACAGTTGTGTGGCTGACATTTAACAATAAGTTGTGTCGCAAGCCTTTAAAAATGTGAGACTTTACAGTTGGTTTCTCGAGCAGTTCCATCATACAAAATAGCTTCTGATATGCTGTTCGAAGGAAAATGAAAATAAACGTGAATATAGAAGCATAGTGGCTGTAGCAGAGTCGACTATGACTAAGACTCAGGATTCAAACAGTACTAAGACTCTAAAATGATGCATCCAACTCCAAAGAAAAACTCATGATGAATAATAAAAAGAGAAACGCAAAGAATGAAACTCTCAGTGTCATATTTGTATTCTAGAAATGACAATAAAGTGTCACCAACGCAAAACTGGTCTTTCCCATAGCTCCCTCGTTTACCTTCAACCCTTCTTAACCACACAGAAAGGATATGGTAGCAATTGCAGTCATTTCACTCATTATCGATCTCGATAGAACCTGACATGCTAAACTTGAGATAAAGTATGGCTAACCAATACGACTCAAATTCAGAAAAAACTCAGAACGAAACCAATAATTATATTTCGAAGATAATAAACACTGGAAGAATCTTCCTTTCCTGAAGCATTCAACGATTTCAAGCTTCCAGAGCAAGCAAAAATACAATTGTTCCTTTGGTTTTAACAAAGGAAAAATAGTCCAACCATACACAAATATTTTCACAAAACTACAAAACATGAATCAGAAAAATTTGCGCCATTTTCACGAAAGATGATTGGAGGATCGATAGTTACCCAGAAGATTCCATCCCAAACAGATCAAATAGAAAATTGGGAAAGTTTCATAGGAAACTCCAGAGTAGAATTTCGGACAGATGAGCTGAAATGTGATTGAATTGACACGAAAACGGTCTATAAATAGCTTGATCGTTTTCACCATTCCATCCATAATTGTTTGTTACATTTTCGACAGTTTTCCTCATCGCACGTTTGTATTCTCTCAAACTAGTATCATAATGCCAAAGGAAGGAAAGAAAGGAGCTTCAAAGAAGGAAGCCACGAGTAAACCTGCAGCAGCAGAAGCTACAAAACCAACTGAGAAGTCTGGTCCTGAAGCCAAGTTGAAAGGAACTGGTGCTAAGAAGCAATAAGCAGAGAAAATGTTGTTATTCATTGTAAGTACTGGTGTTAGTCAACTGGTTTGTACTAATCGCAAGTAGAGCTGTCGCAATAAGGAAACTATGGATTGTTGAAACCTGTGTTGTTTTCCTTTGTGATTTCACTTTTTTGAAGGATAGTTGCAAATAAAATTTTAAATATAGCAATCAAGACCTACATTATCTTTCCAACATTGTTATTATCCTTTAAAAAGAAATGCGATTTTAAATTATACTTGTGTGAAATATCAGTTTTCTATATGAACGTTTTTGTTGCTGGTTGCATCCATGGGAAGTTATCACTTCTTTATGAGACAGTAGAGTGCTATGAAAGGGAACATTCCGTTTCTATTGACTTGATACTTTGTTGTGGGGACTTTCAAGCTGTTCGAAACTGGCAAGACCTTAGTTGTGTTTGTTGCCCTGCTAAGTACCGCCAACTCAACGATTTTTACCAATACTATCGAGGGGAACTAACAGCACCAAAACTCACAGTCTTTGTTGGTGGCAACCACGAAGCATCGAACTACCTTCAGGAGCTTCCCCTAGGTGGATGGGTTGCTCCTAACATTTTTTACTTGGGTGTAGCTGGAGTATTAAGAATCGGCAAGTTAAGAATAGGAGGACTGAGTGGGATTTTTAAAGAACAAGATTTTCGAAAGGAGCATTTTGAAAGACCACCGTACACAGAGAGTTTGTTGCATTCTGTGTATCATGTTAGAGAAGTAGACATATATCGTCTGTCGTTGCTTATCCACAAACTGGATATCTTTATCAGTCATGATTGGCCAGAAGGAGTGACGGAGTATGGAAATAAGGAATCATTGTTAAAGAGGAAGCCGTTCTTTAGGAAAGACTTGGAAGAAGGAAAGCTCGGAAATTTAGGGACCAAAAACCTCCTCTTCCTTCTCCAACCAAGGTAAGCATATCCATCATTGTCGATAAATCTATTGAGACATTTTTAAGATATTGGTTTTCGGCCCACATGCACTGTTATTTTGAAGCGATTGTGAAGATAAACGAAGAGTCTCCATGTGAATTTTATGCATTGGATAAATGTCTTCGTCGCAGACCGTTTTACAAAATAATCAGATTTCCCGATATAGTTCAGGATGAGCTTGAAGTGCGAATGGATGAAGAATGGGTACAAATCCTGTTAGAGACGGCATTCGTTCGCCAGAGTCCTTGGAATCTTTTACAAGCGGAAAACTGGAAGAAGATACACGATATTCGTCAAAATCGAAGTTTCACAAAGCAGTCGCACCTTAAGTTTCATAGGTTTTGCCCCACCAGCAAATCGTTATCATGTGGAGAGGAGAAGATGGAATGGCAAAGAACTCATATTGCACTTCCTGCGTGTCTTCCATTGAATCCTCAAACTCAGTATTTACGGGATCAACTCAATGTTCCAATAACAGCCCCAATATTTTGCAACTGTGCCTCGTGGGTGATTGAACTTAATGCTTCGAACTCTGAAATGACTGGACGAGATCCTAACGAAATTCAACTCTCAGAAGATGATGCGTTTTAGAGTAGTAACAAATGACATTATTTTTCTGGCAACATAACAAAACGTTTCTCGTTCTTATTGTTTTTGAAGCTTTGTAGAGGTCAATGTATTGTTCTATATTTGTATTTTGTTTCCTTAGCAGCTGACTAGACCGTGATGACAATACTTTCAGTTTATCCATTTAGGAAAGTAATCGAATGAACATGTCAGTCCTTTTTCATTCTGCAAATAGAAGGGAACTTAAACGAGATCCGAACTTCTACTACAATGAAGGGGTGACATTGAATATTGTAGCAAGAATTTTTGGAGTATCTTGAATTTGATGACTTTTTCTATAATATAAGGGAAATTCTTTGACAATATATAGGAGAATAAGCAAACGCTATAGTATTTCAAATGAGTTTGTGAAATACAGCGCATACAGAAATGATTCATCGTTTTGACTATACAAATATACGAATTTAATGAATTGGAAGGCTTTCCTTCTGACTAGAATGCGCCTTGAGATTCTTTAGAACCAGTTCAAGAGTTTCAATCAAAATGTTGGCATCTTGTTGCTTGAATATCAAAGGTGGTCTTAGCCGAATAGTAACTTCACCACAACCTCCCATTTGGACACCTTTCTGACGCATTTCGAATAAAAGTTGGTCTCGAGTGGCCGCATTGGGCATATCAAATGCTAAAAAGGTTCCACTTCCTCTAACGTTGGCCACAAGAAATGGAGTCTCACGAGATATCCTTTCAAGTTCCATCTTTACAAAATTTCCAGTATCAGAAACACGTGTCAAAAGATTTTCCTTTTCGATCACATTTGCAATCACATGAAGTTGCAACATGCGAAGAGGGTCGCCCTAACAAGATTCAATTTTTCATTTCCATGTAGATAACTTCATTACCATCCATGTGTTATATATTCTGTATGCTTGAGCTGGTCTGAATTCACTTTTCAAAAAGAAACCGGAAACTTGCATTTTCTTGGCAAAAGTAACCATATCTGGTGGAGTATCCAACTGCCAATATTCATGAGCCCAAAATTTTCCAGTCCCTCCACATCCAGTTTGTACTTCATCAACTATACAACAGTCTATTAATATGGTAAAAAACGACCAAGTATAAAGAGCAACCTATGAATGCTATGCCATTACTTGTGGCAATTCTTCGCAATTGTTGATAAAAATATGGAGTTGCAGCATGATCACCTCCTTCTGCCAAAATTGGTTCAACGATAATTCCTGCCACGGGTATTGGATGTGCACGAATCAAATCTTCCACACGCGTCAAACAGCGATCTTCTTCTTCACGATTTTCACGTTCATGTTCATGCAAAGGATAAGAAAGATGAGGAAAAGGACATACTGGCCAAGGGAACGCTGGAATATCCACCTATGTGTGACAAGCGAGTTTAAATGACTTGAGATGGTCAAATCTTCCTACTTTATGTATGGGTTTTGACCTCGTGGCTGATAAACAACCCATTGTTCTTCCATGAAAACTCCTTTCAAAGGAAAGGATGCTCTTTTGTGGGCTTCCAGGAGCCTCATTTTGCATACAACTCATCAACTCCTTAGTTGTTGGCTCCGAGCCGTGTCGTTCTCGTGCTCTTTTCCATATAAATGCTGCCTAAACAAATTTTTGAAGCTGCTTTCTCAACTGATTATTTCATATAGCTAACCTTGAAGGCATTTTCGTTGGCTGATGAACCACAGCCACAAGTTGTCAGAACCTCCGAAAGTCCTTTTGGCGCAACTCTCATTAAAGTTTCTCTCAATTCCTTGGGCCACTCTACTGGTGGTTGTACACCTAGAGCGTGTCTTTGTAAGAGAAACGGTAGCCACTCGGGTTTGGAAGCTGCCTCAGCCAATGCAGGATGATTGTAACCCAAAGGCAAAGAAGCGATATGACCAAAAACGTCCAATATTACATTTCCATCGGCATCAACTGCATAAGTTCCTTGACTCTAGACGAACTTGTATTCACCAAACTTGAGAGATCACTTCTCATTACCTTGGCTGTGTCCATAAAAAAGTTTATGGTCCTTGTTTCTTGCAGCATATCCATCTCCTTCAAAAGTTCTCTTGACCTCGGTCCAGGTATTTCTGTACGTATCGCAGGCTTTTCATATCGTGGAAAAGCTAACTTAGAAAAGACTCTTTTCATGGTCAACCAATCAATCTATCTATCTCATTCACAATCATTCCACCCTATTCCTTGTGTTTGGTCCATAGTCGGTTAGTTGGTGCTTCATATTTCTACTACCTAACTATTATCTTTGTTCATTCTTTGTTGAATGAAAAGCATTCCCAAATGTCAAATTATATATATAAACAATAAAAACATCTTAAAGATGTGCTTCATTGTGCCTCGTGCAAACATTTTTTTAGAATAACGTTGTGTGATGATTGGCTATTATTGGCCCTGATGAATGATTGCCGTCCAACATTCTCTTTCTTCTCATTTTGGCAGTCTTGTTGTTCTGCGATGCAACAAAAGAGACTTGCTTTTCTTTCTTGTAATTCGGTTGGTCGTCCCAGTAGACACACTCGTTTTTTGGTTTTTAGATACTTGTCCAAACCTCTAACTTTTTTCAATTTGTACCATCAAAGAAACTTTTTTCGATCCTCGCTTGACATGAGGCTGTTCCAAGCAAACGGTGCTCAACTGAAGGAACTCACGACCCACGAAATAGACTGTTTATCGTTTGACTCGAAAAAAAGCAACGAAAAGGTTGTTCAAGTGTCTCTGAATTCGGGAACAGTTCCTTCTGGTGATTACGCAAGAAGAGGTAAAAGAACAGTGAGAAAGAGAAATAACGTGAAGAAAGTTGAACGCAGTGGAGAAAAGTTGCCAGTTGATGTTGTAAGTAATGAGTTATCACAGAGTGTCGCAAATTCGACTCTAGTTCAAGAGCGTATTGCACAAGTTCCCGACGAAGATAGTGTAATAGAGCCTGGCGCAGAAGAGTTGAAGAGAATCGAACGGGAATTTTGTCTTGAAAAGATGTTTACTTCAAAAGGAAGAAATACGGAAAGTTTGAAGCACCATGGAACTGTTTCTGGTTTTCAGAAAAGTAGGGAGAACGGAGTCGTGGACTTGAAGAGAGTTGAACAAGATAGGAAGGAAGTGAAAAAAAGAAACAATATTGATTCTTTTTCGCAAGGTTAGTCAAACGTAGCATTTTTGCCTTGTACTTGAGGCGTATTTGATGGATAATAGGGTCGAAGGATATTGTCGGTAGTGACAAGTTAAATGAAGCTCAGTCACCATGGAGAGGTTCCAAAAGCTTCCAAAAATCAGTTTCGCCATCTTCATTTATAAGTAATTGTCATGTGATTCCCAAGCTGAGTTTTGAAGAAGAAGTTGATATTTGTAATCAAATACAACTATTAAGGACTTGGGAAAGAGAGCGTGACCGTGTTAGTGAGTTACTTGGTAGGAATCCTACTTTAGCTGAATGGGCGGAAGCTGTTGGATTTTCCGATTCAGTTGAGTTTGCGAGAAAGATAAAAGGCTTGAGAGAATCCAAGGACAAGATTATCCATTCCAATTTGCGTCTTGTTTATTACATTGCTCGGTTCTATTCAAAGTATGGTCTTTCTCTTCAAGATTTGATGCAAGAAGGAAGCATTGGTCTCATTAAAGCTGCAGAACGTTTTGATTCGTCAAAGGGATTTCGCTTTGGTAGTTATGCAGTGAGTGTCTTCTGTGTTTCGTGTTTTTTTTAATTGAATTGCTGAGTTATATAGATTTGGTGGATCAAATATGCGATGACCCGAGCTTTAACTGAACAGACACGACATTGGAGAATTCCTGCGTATTTTTACGAATTTATGTCAACAATTCGTCGTACTGATAGCAAATTGACTGCAGAGTTGGGAAGAGAACCAACTCAAGAAGAAGTGTTTAAAGAAAGTGGTCTTACTATTGAACAGTTTCAGACTGCCAATAGATGTCTTCTTCATTCTTTATCTTTGGATTCTCCTTTATCCTATGAATATGGTGATAAGCGTACTACATTGGGTGATACGGTTGCTGGAGATGTTTTACATCCTGAAGATGAATTAGAGAATAATATGTTGCGCAGAGATTTGGAAAAGATTTTAGAGGTAACTTTAACTCCAAGAGAACGAGATGTGATTAGAATGCGGTTTGGCTTAGATGATGGAGCTTGTAAGACGTTGGATGAGATAAGCAGTATTTTTTGTGTGACACGAGAACGGATAAGACATTTGGAGCTGAGTGCTTTAAGAAAACTGAGGCATCCTTATCGTTGTATTCTTTTGAAAGACTATGTTTCTGTGAAGAACAAAGGCCTCGCAGACTTCTTTTCTAGAAACATCTCCGAAGAAGGCTTAGATAACACAGAGTATTCCTGATAGTATTTTTCCTTTTGTTTTGGAGTTAACTTTTGGAGGATGACTTATTTTAGTCTTGTCTTTCTTAGATGTGAATATATAGATATGTACAACGATATATATATATATATATATATATATATTGCGAAGGATCGTTAAGTTTTGCAAAAGTTATTCATAGGCAATTATAAAGACCAATAGTTTCGCTTTAGCTCTTTAAGTTTCACACAGTATCTTCTTAAACAAGTTCATATTCTATGTTGGAAATGTTGTTTTCTACTTTGGGTGGTCCTTGTAGTTTTTCTGTAGGACCCGGAGGTTTAATAGCACCCCATTTGTCTACAACTAAACGAATAAACCCTCTCACCATGTTGACTTTTGCATTTCGAACGGTAACACACTCTCCTTTTTTGAAGAGTTTGATTTGTTCTTTAAGACCGACCTCATCAGTTTTAGGCATCCCAACTGGATAAAAAAGGCTTACCGTTCCTTGCAGTAAACAACACCGCCCCGGTTTCATCAGCGAGCAAAACTTCAGCGATTTGCAGTTTGTCACCACTTGGTCTCACTTTTTCCATAACTTCACCGACGTTCATCACTTGCACGATCAAGTTGTGCCCCTGTGTCCCCGGCTGTAATTTTTCTACTTTAGTAACTGATTGAGAAATAGCATATGTGAATATATATTGTGTACATCAAAGACTTTAACTTACAAACTGGTTTACGAAGAGTCATTTCGAACTGTTATGACTACTCTATCCAACGTGACGTATGGGCCAAGTCCACCAAGAACAAATTTCTAATGACTATCTCTTCAAATGTATATGTTACTTTAGAGTGGTTGATTCCAAAAAAAGTTGGCAACATAGATATTTCATATGTGGATGAACTATCTCATTTTCATCATTATGTAAGGAAACTGAAGATTGGAGTTCCAATAATAACTGACTGGAAAACTGGATGCAAACGTCATGGCCCACAACACTTCCTCTTCTTCTTCTCACAGTTGGACTTTTGGATTTCTTATGGCAGCTGCAGTTGTGACTGCTCAGCAGAATCAAGAAAATTTGTTGGCCAAGGAACACGAACTACTCCATAGAATAAAGCGCCAAACAGACGGAACTTCTTTCAAAACCGTTACTTCACTACTCGAAAGGGTAAGCTAATCACTATCCCTCACTTCATGGGTGTCTCATGTTGTTTCCCAAGCGAGAGAGAACAGGGAACCTGAAGTCCAGCGCTAAAGCTAATATCACACAAAGGTTTGTTCCCAACTTATTTCGTGCATATGTGTCCAAGTGCAGTCGCCGTATTTATGGTGGTTTCTTCTCTCCCGATGGTACCCTCTTTTGTAGTTCAGAACAAGATGATGCCATCAATATTTTCCAGACAGACTGTTGCGTCAACTCTTGGAAGCATATCAAAGCAATTCCTTGTAGAAACGTCAATTGGACAGTAACAGATATGAGTATGTCTCCAAACCAGTCATTATTGGCGTTTACTTCTATCACAAGTTTGGTGCAACTAGTGGGAGTAGCTAGTGACTCCTCATTCTATCAATGCGTATCGTTGGGAACTCGTTCAAGTGAAGGTTTTGGTTTGTGGTCTATACGATTCTCCCCGAGTGGTTCTCAACTTTTGGCGGGTTCTGCAAATAATGCTGTCTTATTGTATGACTTGAGTAGGCAAGAACTATTGGAGAATCTTTCTTCTCATGTCGATGATGTCAATGCAGTTTCTTTTTTGGATGATACCGGAAATGTCTTTGTTTCTGGTAGTGATGATAGTTTTTGTATGCTTTGGGACCGCAGAACTCAACAGAAGAAGAATGGTCCTATTGGTATCTTTGCGGGTCATTCCGATGGAATCACTTATATATGTCCCAAAGGAGATGGTCTCTATTTTATTTCCAATTCAAAGGATCAGACTATCAAGGTTCGTACACCAAGATCATTTTCATTTCAATGGATTGATTGTTTTAGTTGTGGGATACACGTAAAATGGTATCCACAAATGATTGGAAACAGTTACTTTCCACTAGGCCTCCTAGACATGTATGGGACTATCGTTGGATGGAATATCCTCGTCCAGTAAATGTTGGTAGAGTCCATGAAAAGGATACTTCATTGCGTACTTTTGTGGGTCATCAAACTTTGAAAACTCTCATTCGGTGCCGTTTTTCTCCGCAATCTACAACTGGACAACGTTATGTGTATTGTGGTTCTCATGATGGGGCCGTTTATATTTATGATATTGTTCAAGGTGAATTGATGACACAATTGAAAGGTCACAAGGCAGTTGTTCGTGATGTTGATTGGCATCCATATTTACCAGTGATGGCTTCTAGTAGTTGGGATGGAACAATTGCATTGTGGTCGAGTCATCCATGGCAGACAACTGTTTGGAGAGGTATGTAATGGAGTCTATGTATGCGTGACTTTCGTTGATGTATTATCTGCAGATGCCGAGGATACTCCTTTATGGGATAGTTTATCAGAAGAAGAAGATGATGATGATGAGGAAAGTGAATATTCTGAAGAGAGTGATGAAGAAAGTGAATGTTCGGATGAGGAGTCGGATGAGGACGATTGCAGTGATAGAGAAGATACTGACGAAGATTCATCCAGTTGAATTTTATAAAACAACCTTCAACTGCGCTTATGATGATGAGATATTATGTATGTGACGTATGCTCTTTATAATCATCGTTAACCGACACATTTCATAACCAACCTCGTTTTCTGAATATATACACTTGAAAGCTGACGATCATAATGACCAATACCCTTCACAATCTAAATAGAAGCTTCAACATGGGCTATATTCTTCACTTACCAAAAAAAGAAATATCCATAATCATATTCCAATTCTGGCATAAAACTAAAATTCATTCCATACACTCCAGTAATAAATGTTAATGGAATAAATATGGTGCTGATGATGGTCAATGTTTTCATAACTGTTTCAAGTCACTCAATATTCCACGATAAACTGGCTATCGTTACCTTCTTGCATTTTGTTATTTGCACCACTCAAATAAATATCGATAAGACCCATAGAACTATCCCGGTATACTTCCAATATATCAATGATCTGTATGATATGATCAAAACAGTCACGGAGATACCTAAAGGAGCATAAAATGCACTCATTATAGAAAGATTTTTTCTTACATTTTGGTGTTGCTCGTTACTTCAGGCAACGTAATTAGGCGACCAAACATGTCTCTCAATGGCCAAGTATTGCGGCGCATAGTGAACATATCTCGTTTCAATCTATTAATGCCCTTCGACCATCATCAATATACGAAACACGAATATTGATGCATTGCAGTCTTACTTTTATAAGATCTGGTTTAGGTTCATCCATCAATTCCGCTATCAACAGAATACATCAATGCCATTCATTCATTATAACAAACCACTTACCTTCGATTTCTTCGATTCGCTCTCCATAAAACTCTAAAACGGGAAAATAACTATCAATAAGAGCATCAAGAATAGAATATACAAGAAATGATAAATCACGAATACGAATATCATCTGTACTAAATGTAAGCCGTTCCCTAACCACATGACTCCATCTTCCATTCTTTCCAGAGGTCGATGGTTCTTCAAAAGTAATTACAACATTAGAAGGTTTCAGAAAGAATATGGAAACTTGATTTAACGACAATTCCAATCCACCAGGTTCATCTTTCAACTGTGGATAATGTGCAACAATGAATAGCATCCAGTCATATCTAACAAGATTTTCAGAATAGCTTATTAGTGGCAACTAAGTTAACAACTACCTATCAATTTTGGGTCGCTGAGGTGTGTAACAAACATCTTCAATAGCCAAAGGATGAAGTCGATATTTGCTATCCAAAAGCATCAATGCAGGTTGCGGGCTGTCTTGAGAACAAATATGGATCCATCGAATAATTCCCAACTCATCTTCGTGGCTATTGAAGAAACCTGCGAGATCTTCTGTATACAATTCACGAAATGTTGTTTGACTATATTCACAAATATAAGCAGTTACAGGAATATCTGTTTCAAATTTTCTCTGTGTTGAAGTTTCCGAGCCATGGCTAGAAGCAGCTGAAGTGTGGCTTTCCTGAGGAGAAACCACTGGTGAACCTAAAGGTCCCATAGTTGGACTAGTCGTAATCTTATTTGAAAAAGTTTCTGCTCGAGGAACCATATATCTACAAACAGTTTTCAATTGTCAATCGTCTAAAGGTTTTCGTATTCATACCGTTTTCCAGCAGGTTGCCATTTATTCTCTGCTTCAATCATAGCACGCAAGGCATCTCTATGTCTATAACGTGACCTTCTGGGGCCCTTTATGCTTCTTACAGAGGCGACCTTGGAGGATAATTTATCGCCCAGTCGAGAGCCGAGCTGACCATCAAAGTCAATAGTAACACTTCTTTCCAAGTGTCTGTGCAGTTTTGGTTTTCCCGAATTGACAAGTAGACTTGTCTTTTCCTCTTCCTCGTCGTCGCTGTCGTGAGGTAAATAGCGCCTACCTAGATTTTGAATGCTCGAAGCCAAAATACTCACAGACCTCTTCGGTTGCAGTTCTTCTATAGAAAAAGTAAATACAACCAATCCAATTTCCAAAAAAGAGTTATTATCACCTGAGGGAACACTTTGAGTTGAATCAGTGTCAGACGAAGCTTCTGAAGATGAATGGCCTCCAACATTCTTCATACTTTTCGGAATCTGCAACGCGTGTCTTCCACTATCTGGACTCCAAGTAGCTGCTACATCTTGTAGTTGCTAAAGTCCTTTTCAGATGATGAAATTGATAAAGCACAGCCTCATTACCTGTGGTCTTCCTACATTTTTTGGTTCTCCTGAAGGTACTTTCCAAGGAGTTGTCTCTTTATTACTTATTCGTTCTTCTGTTGTTGCTGAGTTACCTGTTGTAACCTTGGACTGTTTTGTTTCCACGTTGGTATCTGCATCGAGTTGAAAGACATCAGGAACCATCATTCAACAATTTCAATTTATTGTAAAGACGACGATCAGTGGAAAGCATTGAGCATTACGCCACGTTACTTGTTTGCTTCTTCAATTGTGCTGTATAAACTCTCGAAATATTAACTTCAGTAGTTGTCATTTGTTCTCTCAAAAAAGCCAAATCTTTTTCCAACTGTTGTATCTTGTCTCTTGCACCATCAAGATTTTCCTTCAAAAGACTTTCCGCCTCTTCAAATGAATATTCCACCATAACATTAGCCTATTTCCATGGATCAGTTGACATAAGATCGCTGTACCCATAAACCACAACTCACACCCAACCACAAATAAACTACTTGAGGATTCTTCACCCAAGCTGTCGAATATACGTTATCCGCCAACTCAAAAGTAGTTTCCATAGGTTCCTTTTGTTCTCCATCACCTGAAGATTGTAACCAGCGAACAACTTGTAGCGCGTTGGTCAAGTCTGGAATTTTCTCTTGAAAACTCCTCTTTTGTCTAGAAAGACTAGAGTCTAGAATTTTGTAACGTGTGTACAACTGCTCTAAAGCTTGAAAAACGATACTGATCCCACCATGTTCTTCCACAACTTTATCGATGTCTTCCTAAACCCACGGTAAGACTATAACCAAAGAAAAGATGAAACCAACCAAAAACTTAGCAGCTGGAACCAACGAATTTCCCCAAGTATTTTCTAGTAGAAATGATGCAACTGAAAACATGAGTCTTGTTCACAACACAACGACTTGTGTAGGACTCTTTAAGACTTTTGGCCACCAAAAATAGTCAAAATGTGATTGTTGATTGAGACGCATGTCTGACGAAGAGTATGAAGACTATGGCTTTGAGTACTCCGAGGAAGAGTCCGAAGAAGAAGACGTTGATATTGAAAACCAGTATTACAACTCTAAGGCATTGATTGAAAATAATCCAGAGGAAGCTCTCAAAGGGTTTGAACAAGTACTTGCCATGGAGTCTCAAAAAGGGGAGTGGGGTTTTAAAGCACTCAAACAAATCGTAAAACTATTATTCAAACACGGAAGATACGGAGAAATGCTAGAAAGATATAGAGAACTTCTTTCTTACATCAAATCAGCAGTTACTAGGAACTATTCCGAAAAAAGTATCAACAAAATATTAGACTATGTTTCTTCTTCTCAACAGTTGAGTTTATTACAAGAGTTTTATGAGTGTACCTTGAATGCTCTTAAACATGCAATGAATGAAAGACTTTGGTTCAAAACCAAACTGAAACTTGGCAAGTTGTATTTTGACTCGGGTGAGTACGGTAGATTGTCTAAAGTCATACGTGAGTTGCACGAGAGTTGTCGCAAAGAAGATGGTACAGAAGATCAGAAAAAGGGTACTCAACTTTTGGAAATATATGCACTAGAAATACAACTTTATACGGCTACCAAAAATAGTAAAAAGTTGAAGCAGTTATATGAACAAGCATTACAAGTCAAATCAGCTATTCCTCATCCACGGATTATGGGAATCATTCGAGAGTGTGGTGGAAAGATGAATGTTGAAAACAAAGACTTTGAATGTGCATTTAGTGACTTTTTTGAAGCTTTTAAGAATTATGATGAAGCTGGAAGTCAACGAAGAATTCAGGTAATTTTGGTCATCTTATTCCTAGAGAAAGTCAGTTCATATGGAATTTTTATATAGTGTCTTAAGTATCTTGTGTTGGCAAATATGCTTTCATTATCGGAAATCAATCCGTTTGACTCTCCCGAAGCAAAACCTTATGTGGACAATCCAGAAATTATAGCAATGACTAGTTTAGTTGAAGCATATACGAAAAAAGAAATCCACGAGTTTGAGCGCATATTGGAAGAAAACAAGGACAAGATCATGGACGATAGCTTTATTCGTGCACATATCCAAGAATTACTAAGTCGTATTCGAACACAGGTAGGTAATTGGTGTTTTATCAACAGTCTTCATAACAAATGCTGGTAATTTAGTATCTTCTAAAGTTGATACAGCCGTATACTCGAATTGAACTTGCCTTTATTGCAAAAGCGCTCAACATACCACAAGCAGATGTGGAGTCTCTGTTGGTATTGCTGATTTTGGATGAGGAAATTGTAGGTTCGATAGACCAAGAACGAGGTATCTTGGAGTTGCACCGTCAGAATAGTAGTAAGGCAAGTGATAAGGTTCCTTAATGGAGAGATAAATACTGAAATTTGGATATAGGAACGTCATCACGCAGTTTCCAAATGGAGCAACGAACTGGAACAGTTGCTAACTGCAATTGAAAATAAACTTGTATGAGTAATTCTATTGTTCGTTAAATAGTAAAAATGATTATTTCCAACAGAGCAACACTTCCACCAACATGTTGTTTGCTATATAAAGTTACTGAGTGGGCACAATTCTAACAAGTCCCTTTATGGAACCAAAAGTATCGATAAGGTTTTTCTTGCTTTGTTCTACATCTCAGCACTACAATTCGTTGGAAACTTTTCCAAATTTCATCTTCCAACGAAGCATAGTTTCCTTCCTTAGACGTTCCTTTTGAGAGTCGGTTGGATTGATACGCTATCCATCAAAAATGTCACAAACAATGTAACAAAATCTATCAACATATACCTACCAGTTCAGGATCATTGAGAGGTTCTGAACCTAGACCACTTTGACCACGATTGGCTATAGCACTAATAGGAGCTGTAATACCACTGCCTTCTCTACAATTTCCAACAATATCAACAACCGATCAAAATAGGATACGAGAGATATGAACGATACCTTCCGAGACCTTGACCTTCTTTCCAACCCATGGACTTCATCAACTTGGCTCCAATATTGTTTTCAATATCCAAAGATGACGAAGCCTTTTTGGATGAAAACGATCTTTTCTTTGGATGCATACCTTTTTTTGGAAGACTGTCATCCATATCCTCTGGAGGATGTAGTTGTCTTCTTTCTGCTGCACGATCGCGATACATCGAGTTCTGCAAGTTGGTTCGATGTAGTTCTGAAAACTGTATATGCTTTTCCAAAATATCGTTAGACTTGAACTTGCGTCTACAAAGTTCACAAATAAAGACTTGTTCCGTCCCATCAGCTATCATCTTTGGACAATTGGATACTTTCTCTGCACTATCATCCACCTTTTTCTCAAATGCTTTGTCCACCTCTGTCTGATGTGTAATAGGAAAGTTATCATCACCTGACTGTGAAACTTCTTCTTTAACATCTCCATCTTCTTTCATTTCTTGTCTTTCTTTGTCACTTTCTTCAAACTCCTCCAAAATTTGTTGACGTTCTTTACGTCTTTGATTCCATCGCTGAATATTAGAAAGAATTCTACCTCGAGGTTTCATTCGAGTAACAGCAGCTTGTCCCTTTTGACTTGGCATTTGTGGCTCGCTTACTTGTCTCTCATCTTGCAAGCTCACTTGTTCAGAACTATTCGTTGTTGCATCGGACTTGACACTAGCAACCTCAGACACTGCTTGTGTAACTTGTTCCAAAACATGGGTAGGCTCCGTTTGTATATTATTATTATTATTATTATTATTATCATTATGATACGATGTGGATACAACCTCACCCTTACTTGGATTCCATGGGTTTGCACTAGTGCTTGCTAATTCAATATAAGTTCCCGTAGCTGAATTATACTGAAGATAATTTTGTCTTGACCAGTCATAAAAAACAAGGTTGACCGGATCAACCACATAATACAAAGTCTGTGGATCATAGTACCAACCACTCTTTGGGTCCATACAATAGTTTGCATAAAGAGATTGACCCATCAATCCTTGTGATGACGCAGTCCACTGTGCAGCCAAAACTGCATCTCCAGCTACAAACTTGTTCTGTGAAGAACCAAGAATATCATTGATTTCTTTCTTTGCTCCACACTGTTTGCATATCCTTCTTCTTGAGAAATTGAAATATCCACAGGATAAACAATCCCATCCTTTCTTTTCCACTCCATCCGAAGCAAACATTATCTCCAACTTGCTACCTTGATATATGACGCTATCAGAAGCTGCTTTGTTGACCACCTTTTCTGCTGTTTCCACTCTTACAAACTCGACAAAACCATAGCTTTTTGAACGAGTTGAGAACTGTGACTGAGGAATCCTCACATCCCGCACAGGTCCAAAGCTGTTGGTGAAAAACTGTTTCAAACTTTTACTATCTACAGGGTTTGGAATTTCCCTCACTATGATGGTATTGGACGGAACAACTTCCTCTTGGTGAGTGGTACTGCTTCCTGCTCTATCCTTTCTATCTTCAGATGACCTCTCAAGGGGCCCTCCCAAACTCTTCGCTTCACAAGTTTTGTCAATAGAACTGGTAAGTGTGGTTCCTACACCAATTTTGGCTTGTTCTGTACTTTCAAACCCCCTATAAAAAGCAACAACAACGTCACTTGCGTTTAGTATTGCCAGTATAACCAATGAAATATCTTCTTAATAGCAAAAGTTGCAAAAAAGTTTCTCACCCTAACATTGTTTTAAACGGTATTCAAGGGACTGTTCTTCCTCTACTTGTTCTACAAGTGCTTCCGAGTCGGTGAATTCAACACACACACACACACACCACGATCGACCTTTCCACATAAACGATGAAATTAATGCATTTTGTTAAAAATGATGGATATATATTTATATATACATAAATTGGAATATTCAGTATTGTATGCTATTTATTCTAAATAAATTCATTCCACAGACAATGCAATAAACAATGGCTCATAATGTTATTTTACAAGCAGCTTTAAAAGAGAATATGTTTCAAGAGTTGAATAGGAATGGCCGTCATTGGGTTTGGATGAAATGGCGGTTTAATATGTTCTCTCAATGCAGCCAATATCAACATCTGTTTCTAGTGAAAGCAGTTATTCAAAAGACGCTTCAACTTGCAATAACAACTTCCCTCCCTATTGGAGTTTTCACTCAGAAGCGAGGACTTTTTCCAAAAGGCAGTCTTCGCGCCAGAAACCAACACCACTGTCTTCATACTTCACAAAGCAACAACCAGAACAGCGTTGGAACAAACTCTATCCTGATCACACTGTTCAAGTGACTGAACAAAGATGGGCAAAGAAATCGCAGCTTATGCGTTGTCGTAATGAGCGTACCAAACGACCAAGCACTGGAACAAGGAAGAGACTCCATATTCCTGATAACAAAACTCTTCAAAAGTGTGCACAGTTACACCATCAGTATAGTGTTGACTTACTTTCTAACGAAAGTAAAGTACAAACATTATCAAGCAACTTGAATAGAAACCATCACATTCGTGAACCTGCATTAGAAACCAAGAACGGCGTTTCTTATCAAGAACTTGAGTCAACTTCAAAGGATGTTTCCCCATATCAGTCCCAAGAGACGTCAACAGATGATGACCATTTTCTATTGATATTTCCTCGGAGAGAAAGAGGTTATGTAACTATCCAAGCTGAAGATGTAAAACTATTGGAACCATGTGGTATGTTGAATGATAATGTGGTGGACTTCATGTTGAAGTATATAGAAATGTATCAAGTTCCTTATAAGCTTCAAGGGAAAGTGCATTTCTTCAATAGTTTCTTTTTCACTCGATTGCAGTCATTGGCAGGGCACGAGACTCATCATGACAACATTGAATGTCTTTCACGTTGGACCAATGGTATTGAAATTCTTTCTAAAAAGTTCTTATTCATTCCTATTTGTATGCACCATCATTGGACTTTAGCTGTTGTTTGTAATCCGGGTAACATATTGTCGTGGAATCCCAACTATGATGACCCAAAAGAAAGACCTTGCATTCTGTACTTTGATTCTTTGGGCACATTTAGTTTTTCAAGAAATTGTCAACGTTTGCTTCGTTCTTATTTAGAAATGGAATGGAGAAAGCGACACTCTCCATGTCAGTTGGAGGAATCAGAACAAACGTTTTGTGTTCCACAAGAAAATTTAGTGCTTTGGAATGTTTCAGCACCACAACAAAAGAATGAGTTTGATTGTGGTTTGTTTATGATTCATTATATCATCCGATTTTTACAAGAGCCACCTAATGGAGGTTCCTTTACTAGGAAAGCTGATCTTCGCGTCAAAAGCTGGTTTACTGACAAAGACATCAAGGTCTTTCGTGAGAAGATAAAACAACTTATTATGGATTTGGCAAAGTATTATGCGAGTCATCCAACAGAACAACTCATTCAAAACAGTTCAATATGAATGGATATGAATCGACTTTTCAGAACTCTCTCTCTCTCTCTCCCCTCTCTACAAATGTTTATTCAGAACAAAGGTATCTATGACTAGTACATTCACACAAAAAAGACTCCTCTTGGAATTTGTATATATATATATATATATATATATATATAGTTTTGGTTCCTTTGTGGAAGACAAATGTCTACAAGCGACGCCATTTCCTTTCGGCTGCTTCAGCTTCCTTCAATGCTTCTTGAGAATCTCGTGGATCTAAAAATGGATAATCTGTGTATCCCTTTTCATTACCACCATAGAATGTGGCTCTATCATAAGGATTTAGAGGTGCATTTTGTTCAAATCTGCTGGGCAAGTCAGGGTTGGCAATCACCCAACGACCATATGCTACGAGGTCCGCATGTTGCTTTTGCAGTCTTTCTTCTCCTGTTTCCTTTTGATAACCTCCAGCAGTGATAAGAACACCCTTATATAAGGGACGGAAAAATTCTACATTCAATGAGGACTCTTTCTCAACATCCACATTTCCTTTGATTCTTGGCTCGATAAGGTGTAAATAGGCCAGTTCGCGTCGACTCAACTCTTGTACTAAATAACTATAAAGAGCAGGTCTGTCAGAGTCACTCATACTCATAAACTCTGTATCTGGAGAAAGACGAATGCCAACTCTGCGGGAAGGATATACTTTACACACTGCATCGAGAACTTCAAACACAATTCTCGTCCTATTTTCAATGGAGCCACCATAACGGTCGGTTCTCTTATTCGTGCCATCTTCTAGAAACTCGTGCAATAGATAACCATTCGCACTATGAATTTCTATGCCATCAAAACCTGCACGTTTCGCATTAATTGCTGCTTTTCGATAGTCTTCCACAATATGGGCAACTTCCTCCGTTTCCAGTGCTCTCGGTGTTTCAAAGGGTTTGATGCCATCATAAGTCATTACTTCACCTTCCGGTGCAATCGCACTAGGTGCAACTGGTAGTTGACCGTTTGGTTGAAATGAGGAGTGAGAAACTCTTCCAACGTGCCACAACTGTAAAAATATACAACCTTCTCTTCGATGGACTGCTTCGGTTACCATTCGCCAACCATCCACTTGTTCATCTGTATAGATACCAGGAGTATCAGGATATCCCATTCCTTGTTGAGATATTTGAGTTGCTTCGGTGATAATAAGACCTAAACCACTTCTTTGGGCATAATATAAAGCGTTCATTTTAGTAGGCACAAAGCGTGGACCTGCTCTGTTACGAGTCAACGGCGCCATCACCATTCTATTGGCTAGTTCTAGTCCATTCAAGTCAAACGGTTCCAACAGCTTCAACATGGTTCACCGTCCACTAACTACAACGGACGATACAAATGCAATATCGAAAAATTGTCATTGCATGAAAGAGATAGGATTATTTTTATTGCATCCTGTCAAGAAAAGTTGTATTTTCTTTTAAGAATTGTTCAACAAGATGCACATAAATATATACTAGTCCAAGTATTCATTTCGTACCCTTTTCTCAATGCTTTTGTGATTCGTTCCATGTCGAATACTCTTCGTATTGGGGTGTTGGAGTTACAAGGCGACTTTTTAGAACATGAAGCTATGTTAAAGCAGTGCGATGGTGATATTCTGACTATTCCAGTGAAAGGAAAACAAGACCTCGATAACATCGATGGCTTGGTCATTCCCGGAGGAGAAAGCACCACCATTGGAAGACTAATCGAGGAGTTTGATATGTTGGAAACAATCCAAAAACGAGGTTCACAAGGTTGACTTTGTTTTCGTTGCAATGAAACAAGTTTTCAACTATTTATTTAGGTCTTCCTATGTTCGGTACTTGTGCAGGTTGTATACTGTTGGCAAAAGATATCGTGGGACGTCCAACACAAACGAGACTTGGATTGATGAATATCACGGTGGATAGAAACGCTTATGGACCACAAACGGAATCTTTTGAAACGCAAGTGTATTCACCGAGATTCAAAGAGAAACCATTACGAGCCGTTCTTATAAGGGCACCGACCATCGTGCGAGTTGAGTCGGGAGTGCAAATTTTGGCTTGTAAAGGGTCTGAAAAGGAACCTATTTTGGTTCAAGAAGGAAATTGGTTAGCGAGTACATTTCATCCCGAACTAACAGACGACAAAAGGATACACTTGCATTTTCTAGATATAGTAAAGGCATACAAGTCTTCGAAGTAGAACAAAGTATAGCATAGGTCTGTCAATGAGCACACACACACACACACACTAAAAGAGGATTGAACAACAAGTTAAAGCCCCATTGGCTATACGAAATTGCGACATGTTGACAGAAACGAGAGAATAAAATGATCCTATACGAGAGGCAATTCGTCGGGTTGCTTCTGGGAATCCCTGCGGTAGGATAACAGTACCATTACAATATAAGACATTGGCAGCATATGCCTCTTCTTTCGGTATCCATATGACTTCATATCTCGAGGATACCGAACCAATCGTCTACTAAATATGAATAATACTCAGCAAGTCTACACTTATCTGTACCTACCTGAATAACACGACATCCCTGACATGTTTCTGCCACTACTAGAAACCCATAATTGTCCTCGTTGCTTGTGGGATATGGGATAAATGTTACTGCTGACTTCAAGTGCATAACTTGATCCAGAATAATGGGAACCACATCTACTGATTCAAAACACTTTCTTAGAGCCTGAACAGCTTCCCTGTTGGTTCTCTCACCCACTCCTACGAATAAATGCCTTCCAGTCCAAAGCACGTCACCTCCATCCAACACTACTTGGTTGCAACCGTAGTCTTTCACTGAACAAACTTGTAAACCAAGGTTTCTCAAAACTCTCTCCACCTCCACTACTTCTTGTCGTCGAGAAGTAGGAGCAGGATGAGTAATAACTGCAATATTTCCAACCACCACTGCAGTATCCTCCACAAATACGCAGTCTGGTAACTGGTCGTCTGCACAAATATCCACAACTTGAGTAACTTTGGAACTCAAAAGTGAACAATATTCACTGTGTTGTCTTCTCGCTTCACTCAACAGAATACGTCGCTCACTGTATTGAGGGTCTTTTATACAAGAGTCAAAAGTATTTGCCACCTGTCGCAGGATAGCACACGAATAACAAAGACTCATTTGAGACAAGTTGAATGGTTTCAAATCGATACTTTTCAAAACTATTTACACAGGATTCCAAAATATTTCTTGAACATAATTTTTGCAGACAACACAATTACCCTTTCGTTTCAACCAAGGGTCAATACAATCCATATGGAACTGATGAAAACAAGGCAATATTCTCAAACATTCACCATCACGAAAGCGTTCCAAACAAATAGCACAACTCAGGTTTTCATCAGATATTTCGTCTTTCAAAGGTTCTTTGGTTTCTATGGTAGAAGTAAAATGCTCACCACAAGTTTCAAAAGTATTCCAAGGATAAGACGCTTGTATAGGATCCACTTGGATAGCCTCATCCAAACATTCCTCCTTCTGACTCACAGAGGAACAAACTCTTTTATCCTTGTTACTAGAGAATATATAAGTAGGTAAGCTCTGAATAGTTCCCTCCGATAATCCTTCCAAAAAACGACGTAAACTTCTCGAATTCACTCCCAATTCACTCCAATCTATCACACGGTTAGTGTGATTTCGAGGAGACCAAACAAACGAGCTTTCATATAGAGGAAACACTTGTCTGCTTGAGGTTTCTGGGCGAAAACTTCTTAATCTGGTGGGATTGAACTGGTTATTTTGTCTTCTATAGGGCCTTGTATTTCTAGCAACCGTTGTGGTCAACACAAAAGCTAGTATAAAAGCGACACCCAACAAAGTTACTGGCAGAACTATACTCAAAATGACAGTCACAACAGGAACCCCTATGAAGAACAACCACAAGCTAGTCGACAGTCCAACCAGTTTTAAAACCAAAAACCAAAACCATACACGACGACACCAACTGCGTTCTGTTCTAGAAAAAAGAGTGTTACGAACAGAAGAAGAAGGGTTGGTTTGTACCAGGTCTGCTACAACAAGAGGAATATCTGAGGTGGAACTTTCAGTAAAGTTTCTTTCTGGAAGCGTTACACCGTCAACCCAGTCCTCCACAACAAGTGTCTCAACACTATCACCTGAAGGTATTTGTGAAGAACGGTCTTCCATGTTTCTATGAACTGTACAAAGACTTGCCCAGTCTTTCAATGACAAAGTCTATTAGATCTACAACTCTCTCGCCATTGGAAAATTCAAACACTCTGATAAATACTTTATTGAAAAGATATATTTCTATACTCTTCAAGTGAATTGGATCGATTCACTCTGCTTCTAAAATACACTTTTTGTCAAACTGATTATAATATACACACAACAACAAACGTGAATCATCCGTCATTGGTGAATTGGGTAGAGACACATCGATGCCTACTTTCTTCTTTGTTCCCTTATTGGCACCGGTTGGCTTGGAAGAGGATACAAAACCAAAAAATACAAGTTTCAACCAAGCAGAAAGTAATTACCGCCTTTCTTATTCGTCACGTTGTCATCTTTTTCCTGGTAGAATTATCAGAAAATTCGCTACTACTCCCGCAACAGTATTGTCTCCTTGTGATTCAGCCTTTCAAAATACTTCCATTTTCTTTTGTTCGATGACACAGCAGCCGTCGTGGAAAGAGTCAAAGGAAAATGAAGCAGAAATGGAGCAAGTTATACAGAGATTGGAGTCTTTTCGCTTTCAAGAGACAACAAAGACATTTGTGAAATCTATTCACGGCACGAGACGTTTTCCATCATCTTTGGAAAATACTGGTGCCGTACTTCCTCCACCAGGTACTTCTGCACTGGGATGGTACAACAAGAGAATTCGTTCAGCCGCCCTTAAAAGAGAATTGAAAAGAGTTCTCTCTCTTGTTCGTGAAATGAAATATAGTAATATGACTCAACCTAATACCGTTACGTATGCAATAGCTCTCAGTTGTTGTGCCAAGTTGAGAGCAGTCGAAGAAGCTCGCAAATTGTGGAGTTGGTATTTGGAAGATAAGCTGCCTGTCGATAACCACGTATATAGTTCCATGATTGCCGTTTATGCACGTACAGTCCCTCCACAATATGATTCAGCCTGGGTTACTTTTCAACAACTCAAACATTTTATGAAACCTAACAAGGTTGTGTACAATGCTATGATCGATATTTGTTCTCGAACGGATAGAATGGAACAAGCCCTTAAGCTTTATCAAGAGTTAAAATTAGAGAATGGAGAGACTCCGGATGAGTATACTTATAATGCGATACTAAAGGGTTATGCTAGAGCTGGCAACCTACAAAGTGCTATCGAAGTTTCCAATCAGATGCATAGTGAAGGAATCATCCCCCGTGCAATCACTTATAGTGTTTTGATTGATTCTTTAGGAAAATGTAAAAGGTTGGATGAAGCTTTTGGTTTCTTTGAGGAAATGGAAGCCAAAGGTATTCAACCCAATGTTATTACTTTTAATGTTTTGTTATCGGCTTGTGCTGCTTCTAATAATTATACCAGAGCATTGGTTATCGTGGATTGGATGGAAGAGAGAGGAGTTGCTTTTGATAGGTATACTTATAATGCTTTGATGCAAGCTTCTGTCAACAGCAAACAATACGAAGAAACTGTAAAATGGTATGAAAAGATGATTCATTCACTAGTCACTCCCAATAATGTTACTTTTCGGTATTTGGTGGAAGCTGCTGGTGGCTTGGTTCGTTTCGACTTGGTTCAATTGGGCAGGTCGCACATGGAACAATTGAGTATCAAAGGAAATTCATATACTTATGCAGCCTTGGTGGCTTCCAGTCTTCGATGTCAACAAATGGAAGCAGCACAAACATTCCTCAATGAATTTGTGCTTTCACGTAGAAGAAAGGATTCAACTTTTTATAACATTATTGAGGATATATTGCAACGAATGGGAGGAGAACATGAACATGCCAACAATAATATTATCATTTCACGTATAAGACAACATAACAAAGAGGTAGAAAATACTGTCTGACAGGATTTTATTTCAGACCAACTTAGACTTGCATTTGGGAAGAATATTTGGTATAGACTTGCATCAACTCATCTACATCTTCCTCTGAACCTAAAATAAGAGGTTGTCGTTCATGGGTCGTGTTGGGTATTATATCCAAAATACGTTGTGCACCGTTTGTAGCTTTTCCACCAGCCTGTTCAATCAAATAACTCATCGGAGCACATTCATAGAGTAGACGCAATTTGCCGTTGGGATTCTTCTTATCTCTAGGATAACCAAAGACACCCCCATAGAGCAAAGTTCTATGTACATCGGCTACCAATGAACCAATGTAACGTAAAGAATAACATTTTCCTGAACGATTGTTTCCAGTTTTCAATTTTTCCACATATTCTTGTAATATAGGATCCCATTGGTGATAATTGGCTTCGTTGAAGGAATAAATTTGCCCTCTCTTTGGTATTTTCATATAAGGATGAGTCAATACAAATTCACCAACTTCGGGATCCAGCGTAAACCCATGTGTTCCATGTCCCAATGAAAGCACCATCATAGTCGATGAAGAATACATACAATATCCTGCAGCTAACAAACGAGAACCTGGTTGCAGAGTATTCGCCAAACAATTGAGTTGAGAAGGTTCAATATCATCAGCCATATCCTCTATCAAGCAAGATACTTCTTGCCTAAAGATACCAAAGATAGTTCCCGTAGCTACTGCTGCATCTAAATTAGATGAACCATCCAAGGGATCAAATACTGCCACATAGGTTCCTGAGAAACTTTCGTCTACGGTAACAGGAACGTCTTCTTCTTCCGAAGCTATCACACCCATTTTACCAGAATACTTGAGAGCATTCTTGAGAACTTGATTAGAAAGTATATCCAGTTTCTTTTGTTCCTCTCCTTGAATGTTGATACTTTTCCCTTCATTGAAGAGTCCTGTGAGGTTGGTAATTCCAGCTCTAGAGACCAAGGAAGCAATCTTCTTGCAGGCAAACTGAATACTGGAAATAAGGTCTACTATATCCTCAGGTGCTTTGGAAGACCGGATATTTTCCAATACAAATCTTGTCAGAGTGGTTGGAGAGTCTTGCGAAGGCAAAAATAGTCCTGCACCATTGGAGCTCGCGTCTTCTTTGGAAGCGACACAGGCCATCAGAGTTGTCCTCGTAGGTGTATGTGAATAATGTCTGGTTTTTCTATTTCGGTTGAATACATTACGAAAAGTATGTTGATGTGATGGGACCAAGTGGAAGCTTGTTATCCAACAAGAAGACGACATGACACAATCGAATGGAGATTACGAATAACCTCCTCTCTCTCTCTCTCTTCCCCATCTCTATTTGGTGATAGCCATTCATTCATTCATTCATTCATTCCTGACAAAAGTTTTCAAAGTAGATTCCAAACTCTTCATAATTTTAATATCAAGACACAAATTCCAAATTGGAAGTTTGGAAATAACGAAACATGAGAAACTCTCGAAATATCAAGTCCATTTCGACACAATACCGACGCAAAGAATGAGGAATATTATCCACTACTCGACGAAAAATAGTCCGCATAGAAATACAACCAAGAGAAAGATAAGGATTCATTCTTCCATATTTAGTATCTATCATTGCTTCATCAGGGTAATGTTGAATCCATCCACAAGTCTGGGATGAAACAAACTCGGTCAAACGACTGAGTGCTTCCCTTTCCGAGACAGCTAAAACATGGGACTTTTGTTTAAGCTCTTGATTGCAACTTGAAATAATATCAAAATCTAGTTTGTACTTGCTGTCATCCAATCTATCATAAGGAAATGGTTTGAGATATTCGGGTGATGGAATATCTTTAGGTACTTCCCAGTTATGAATATATTGACCGAACTGATCACAATCCTCCAAATGTAGAGTACTTTTGGAGATTAGTTTGTCAAATGGATGAAGCGTGTTGGTCCAAAACGTATAAATATTTACACTAGTGTTAGAATCAAGTCGCTGCTTCAGTTCCAGTTCCTGTTTCCGTTCCTTTGCAAAGATACTATTATAGAAATATAAACCTTGCGCTCTTGTGCTTCTTATCAACTCCAATAAACTTTCCACCGCATTATTGGATACTATGACCAACAAATCGCTACCTAACTGTCGAAATTGTTTTCTCAAGTCTTTCAAACACATTTCTAACAAATCATGTTCTTGGCTTAGGTCTTCATATAACAAGTCTTCTGATAACAAACAACTTCCTCTATCTTCATCCTTTCTCTTCTGGTGAGTCATCGAGACACTTTCGTGGATAAACAACGGAAGAATCCTTCGATAGCTCTTGACAGCCTCCACCAAAGCAATGTTATCGTGCAACCTCAACTCTCTTCGAAGCCAAACGATCGCGATATCTCCTTTATTTCCACAAGCATTGGATAATCCTAGTTGAAGCGAGTTTCTCGGTCTCTCAAACTGCATCCAAGTCCTTCCACTTTCCATAGAAAAGCTCGGTAAAGAACGGGGAATGGAACACTTGATTTGCATAAAGCGCAAACAAAAAACTTTCTCTTCATATTTACGATGTGTAGACTTTTGTAAACAAGTCTGCAAACGATGTTCATCTATTACAAAACTCATAGAGACCATCCTCCTCCTCCTTCCTCTCTCTCTTGTGATAATCCAACAAAATCTCCAAACTTTTTCTCATCCATTGACAAAAGAACCGACGATGTATAGTTCAGTCAGTCACAAGGCACGTCCAAGAACTTTAGAATCCAGAGCAAGTCAAGTTTCCTTGGCACATAGTCCTGCAACTACCACCAAACCGCAACATACCGACGCCTTTCAAAGTTCAACTCTTCGGCTATGGGAACTTCCAAATAGTTTGCAAACGAGTCCAAATACAAAACCGTGGAACTTTTCCAAGAAGAAGAATATTCGTACCGACAACGATATTCTCTCGAAAGAAATACCGTATAGAGCCGCAACTATTGAATTTTTTGCCAAACCTTTATCCTCTGTAGCTTGGATTTCTCCTTTTGAAGAAACTAGAAACCAGTATCTTGATAATAATCACTCCTTAATAGCGATAGGTTCCTGTTTGGGTGACGGTGGTGATTGGATACGGTTAATTCAGTTACAGGTATCCGAAATGAGTCTCACATCGAAGGAGTCGACTATCGATCTTAGTTTAAATACTGTCACCACTAGTCCCATTGGCGATGTGATCAATGTACTTTGTCCTAGTAGTCTCTCATCCAATTCCTCCAACAGTGTTTTGTTATTTTATGGTACTCTGCGAGGGCAAGTGTGTGGGGTGAAACTATCCTTGGAACCAAATGACGATGATAATCCTATGTTTTCTGATAAGCCAGCCTCGAGATGTCTCCATTACGAAGCTGTTATTGGATTAACTGAGTTACCCTTTAAGAATCAGTTGGTAGCAGCAACCAACTTGGTGAGTTGAAGAAATAGACCGGTTTGAACCATATTATCATACTAAATATATTTATGAAGGGAAATTTGCAAATGTATCAGATTGATAATGATATAAACTCTTTGTCATATGTCGAGTTACCTGATAGTCCTACGTCTAGAATGTTAGAACCTGTAAGTTTTACGGATATTTGTACTGTTACAGAGACAATGGTTGCTGCATCCGGAAGAACGGGATCCGTTTGTTGCTTTGATACTCGTACTTTTACCAAAGAGTCACAACGTTTATCTATTGCTGCGAGTGGTATTTGTTGTACTTGTGTCAGTGTGGATAGTGGGCAGCCTAATTATATTTTTGCTGGTACTTCTCAAGGAGAATTGGTTGCATGGGATCGTCGCATCGTTCGAGAAGGAGTTCATGCTCCTTTATATCGTATCGCTGCTCATCATGGAAGAGTCTCCCGAATAGGTGTTTCTCCTGTTTGGAATCCTGGTGTTGTTTTTACGAGTGGTAAAAAGGATGCTCAAGTGTTATGTTGGGATTTTGCTTCTGCTGCAAAAATGGATCTTTCATTTGGAAAAAAGTTCAAGGATGCTAATAGTTGTTGGGAAGCAAATATTCAAAAGGAACAAGTGCAAAATATTGCTAGAGATTCCGTATTTTCACTCAATGATATGGATTTGCATCCAACGACCCCTTTAGTGGCCTACGTATCTTCTAGTAGTTCGTTGAACGTGATTTGTCTATGAGAGTTTGTTGCTTCATAGTCCACGTGGTGGTCGGTGAGATAAAAAATGGCCGTTGTCCATCCATGAAAGAAAAGGGGAAATGAATCGATCGTTGTTTACACCGACGTTGCGATGGTCTCAGTGGTTTGCCAAAACTTGTACAACACTGCAACGTCGTTCAGTTACAACGAATATTTGGAAAAATGATATTTACCTTTCACTTGGGAAATGTAGAACAACAACAGTTGGGTCATCTTCATTTTATTTGAAGTTTTATGGAGCGTCTTCGAGTTATTCTACCCTTTCGGTAAGTTCAGTAGATGACGATTCGAGTGCTCTTCACTATGTAGACAATCTTCCTATTCGTGAAGAAACAAAGGAACGCTTGAAGGCATCGGGCATCACTCGCTTGTTTCCTGTACAACAAAAATGTTGGAATCCTATTTGGCAAGGAAAGGATGTCGTAGTCCGTTCGCAAACTGGAACGGGAAAAACTTTGGCATATGTCTTACCTCTGATAGAAAAGGCCAGTTTAGGTCACTTCAAAGCACATACCAAACGTACAGGCTCTCCCTTTATCGTTGTCTTGGCTCCCACCAGAGAATTGGCCAGGCAAGTATTTGAGGAGTTTGGTAAATTGGAAACCACTTTATTAGGTGCTTGCATATACGGAGGAGCACCTTATCGACCTCAAGAAGAACAATTACGTAACTGCTTATCCTTTCTTGTTGGTACACCTGGACGTGTAGCTGATATGTGTCGCAAGAACTTGTTACATTTGGAACTTGTGCAATGTATTGTATTGGATGAAGCAGATAGAATGTTGGAAATTGGATTTGCAAGTGAGTTAGAACAAATCTTATCTGCAGTTTCAGGGAACAAACAAACTTTGTTATTTTCGGCAACGCTACCTACTTGGGTCAAACAACAATCTGCAAAAAATATGAGGAACCCAGCCTTTCTTGATTTGGTTGGAGAGGACAAAGACGCAAAGATACCCAAAGATGTAAAGCACTATGCTATTGAAGTTCCTCCTTTCGCAAAAGAAGCTGTGATTGGAGACATTTTGAGTGTATTTGGGGGAGAAAAGTGTATCATTTTTACTCCCACGAAAAGAGAAGCAGATATGCTCGGCTCTTCGGAATATATTCGTGACGAATCTACGGTTATTCATGGAGATATTCCACAAGATGGAAGAGAGTTGGCAATCAATGGTTTCCGAAAAGGCAAATTTCGTAACTTGATTGCTACCGATGTTGCTGCTAGAGGAATTGATATACCCAACGTAGATTTTGTCCTTATGACTTATACTCCAACTCCCACTCCAGAAAGCATCGATATGTACGTTCATCGTTCGGGTAGAACAGGTAGAGCTGGAAACAAAGGTAAAAGTATGTTGATATATTCTCAAGCAGAAAAGGATAAGTTGTTGAGACTGGAAAGAGCGCTTGGTATTCGTTTTGAACGGTTGCATCCTCCATCTTCAGAGCAGCTGTTGATGGTGTCCTTGGAGCGTTCTTGGAAGAAAGTACTTGGTACTCCTGATTCTTTAGTTTCTCAAGTGTTACCCATTTTGGAAGACAAGATAAAGAACATCCACCATCAGCAATATAACAGTGTAACCAATGGTAGTGTATTGGATGCTATTATGAATGAAACCAAGTTGGAGAAAAAGTTACAGATATTATTAGGAGCAGCGTTAGCACGTCTTGGAGGTTTTCATTCGACAGTACAACATAGGTCACTATTGACTTCCAAACATGGTTTTGCCACTTTTCATATTCAAGATAATCGACCCATAGCCAAGAGGAAAGGTTTTGGTGTCCATTTCCTACGTCGCATTTTATCCGAATCGTTACCTGATTTAGTAAAAGATACGGAGGCCATTTCAAAAGTTGTCGTATATCCCAGTGGATACGAAGCATTGTTTGATGTTTCTGAAAAGGTTGCATCTTCTTTGGTTGAGTACGGTTTAGGTGAGAAGAGTCAGTTTGAAGTGAAACCTGTGAAGCAGTTAACCCAAGAGATGATACAAGTTGTGGAAGCGGCAGAGAAGCGCAAATTGTCTGTTGTCCATAACAAGACGCAACAAATCGTTTCATTCAACAGGCATTGAAGTAGTTGATGCAATTTTGAATGAAAACTTTGATGTAGAGAGTGGATAGAGTTGCATTCCTTGACGAATGCCATTTGGACCCGCCCAAACTCATTTTTGGATCAAGGGCGGGTTTTATAATCTTTTTGGACAAAAACGATAAAAGTTGATTTAAATTGAATGTGGAATTTTGGATTGATGATACTAAGATGGGAATACAAGGGTTATTACCGGTTTTGCGACCAATATCGTAGGTTCCTTTCTTGTCCGTTTGTCTTTTGTCAATCTCAATCATGTCGCAGTGAAGCTATTCATATTCAAAAATTTGCCAATAAAAGAGTGGGTATAGATGGATATAGTTGGTTGCACAAGGGTGCTTTTGGATGTGCCTTAGAACTATGTACTGGAGTATCTACTTCCAGGTAAACCGCTGTATGTGACAAAACCTTGCAGCTATATAATATCTTCTACAAACTTTAGATATTTGGATTATTTCATAGAAAGGATAAAGATGTTACTCTATTACAATGTGGTTCCTGTAGTCGTATTCGATGGTGCTAGGTTACCCGTGAAAAGTGAAACCGAAGCCATAAGAAGAGAATCTAGGGAAATGTATTTAGAAAAAGGGAAAAAGTTAATGAAAGAAAAGAAATGGACTCATGCCGTAGAGTGTTTTCAAAGAGCTGTAAATATTACTCCTATCATGGCACATCAAGTGTCGCAGGTATGTATCTATCAAAATGGTCATCGTTGCTATCTTATCTCGTCTAGGTTTTGATAGAAATGGGAATCGCAGTTACCGTTGCTCCTTATGAGGCAGATGCACAACTGGCCTGGCTTTGTTTTCAAAATGAAGTGGATGCAGTGATTACAGAAGATTCTGACTTGATTGCCTATGGAGTGAATCGAATCATATATAAAATGGGTCGTTCGGGAGATGGATTTCTTATTTCTCGTAAAAACTTGGGTGCTCTTGAAGGACTCGCATTGTCCTATTTTACACAAGATATGTTGCAATTGATGAGTATCATTGCAGGATGTGACTTCTTTCCGGGAATTCGAGGATTGGGAATCAAAAAGGCACATGAAATTGTAAAACGTTACCACACATTGGATCGAGTATTTTGGTTCCTCAAGAATAATCCAAAGTTTCAAGTTGAACAAGATGATAGGGAAAGAATGGCCAAAGCACTGATGACTTTCAAGTATCAACGAGTATACGACCATCGTCATCAGAAACTTGTATTTCTCACTCAACTTCGTGAGAATGATCCTTTAGTGCATTCGATGATGAAAGTGGATGCCAATCTCGAATTTCTAGGACCTCTCATTCCGGATGATATAGTACAAGGAATTGCACAGGGAAGACTGCATCCTTGTACTTGGGAATGTATTATAGATCATTCACAAAGTAACAAATCTGCTTGTTTGGATGAACAAACAACTGTCAAGTCTCCCACAAAACAACGTGGCATAGTTGTTAGGAAAGACAAAAGCCCATCGGTGACAAGTCAACCTACTAGCAAAACCAATTGCTGCCCTCGCATTCGTATATTGGATTTTTTCCAAAAGCCTAAAACTTCAAGAAATCTTACTAGCATTGTCTCGTCTCCGTGGCTGAATGTGATACGGGGTAAACGGAAAGAGGTCAAGGAAAGTATGATTGATTCAGACTGCAATAGCTCTCTAAAAAAGTGTAAAAGGGAGAGTTTAGAAAAAGGAATCTTGCAACCCAACCAAAATATAATCAATCGGCTCAGTGAGAAAGATAACGGAAACCTTGATCACTTCCGTTATCAGCCATCTCAAGATGGAACTTCCATTCCTTGTAGTAGGAAATGAGGGCGTTGGGTTTTGTGCAAGTGAATTTAAACTTCCGTCATAGTTTCCATGTATACCATAAAACTAGTTTTACTCCATTCCACTTTTTATTTACTCACGTTGACTTGAGGCATAAATGTTTAGAAACTTTTGTACCTTGGTTGAGTCAACAATCCGAAGCTGATAATTCTGTCGATCCTTCTACCCACTGTGATGACGCTTCAGAACGACATGGCTTGAAAAGAAAATATCTCTTACCTCGCTTGACAGTGGAATCGGATCACTACGAACAGTTATCAGATATAGCAGAACGCCAAGGTGTGCCCGTCTCCGTGTTAGCTGACACCGTTTTATCAGAGTATTTACAAGAAATGGAAAAAGGTCTCTTTGGCAAAGCTGGTAGCACCACCGTTTCCTTGATTCCATCGGGAGAAAGAAAATATGATGCCGTGCTATTCGATATGGATGGTGTTTTATGTGATTCTGAAATACTCAGTCGCTTAGCTGCCGCAACCATGTTTTCCCAATATCACAACGTTCGAGTGAAACCTGAACATTTTGCTGCTTTCACAGGTCAAGGTGAAGAACGGTTCCTATCAGGTGTAGCTGAAATGTACAACGTTCCTCATTTCGATCCAGTGATAGCCAAGCAGCGTTTCTTCGATATCTATATTTCACAATATGCGTTGAGTGGCAAGTTGCATTCGTATCCTGGAGTAAAGGATTTGATAGCCGTCTGTAAAAAAGTAGGTCTGTTCGTTGCCGTTGCCTCTAGTGCCGATAGAATCAAAGTTCGTGCCAACTTATTGGGTATTGGCTTGGATGAACAAATATTCGATTATATTGTGGAGAGCGATCAGATTGAGCGAAAGAAACCATTTCCAGGTAGATTGATAGTTTCTCCTTTTTGATGCTTTCTTCATCTGATGATGGTGGTTAGATATCTTTTTACAAGCTGCCAAAGGATTGGGAGTCAATCCTGAAAGATGCGTAGTCATTGAAGATGCAACAGCAGGAATTCAGGCAGCAAAGGAAGCGGGTAAGAATGTTTTTCACTTTATGTGTGAGTTGATACTAAACAACCGTTTCGAATGTTTGTGATGTTAGGAATGCGATGTATTGCAGTTACTACAAGTTTATCAGCCGAACAACTCAGTTCTTTATATCCTGACGTTATAAAAGAGCATCCGGGTCTAATTACTATTTCAGATATTTTAGGATTGGAGGAAGACGTTCAATAAACCACAAAAAAGGGGGCATTGAAAAGATGCATTCTCATTCTTTGTCTTATTCACACATAGTCTTATGATACATAAGAATGACAATCTCGAGTGTTTCTTGAAATACACGGATCCTGGATACATTCCCTATCGTCGTTTGATAGATATTCAAGTATGGCGAGCTTTGGAACTGTGAACAAGCCAATGTCCCATAGGAGTTGGGTTCAAACTTCACTAAGAGTGTAAACATTTTCTCGAGCACTTTTGCAATCACTCCACTGGTTTGTTTCTGGACTCTTTCAAGAGCAATGCATCGAAGCACTGTCTAATTCGTACCCATACTTGCTCCAAAGGTTGTTCCCATTGGGTTTCGGTCCATTCCAAAATGGAGCTCAGTAAAAGTCGAGTGGATGCTTTCCTGACGGAATGATCAAGATTAACAATATCTCTCTCAGTTGGCTTCCTGGTTCCGTTCAATTCAGTGGCTTTGGTTAAAATAGTTTCCTTTAACATCTCCATTTCCAGGGTAGGAACTTCCATGAGGGATTCTTTGAGTAGTGTGTTTCGTAGACAATCAGCTAGCAAAGGATCTTTTCCTAACTGTTGCACACAAGTATCTGGAGCAAAGCGACAAAAAGTTGCTGCCAATTGCATCAAAACTAAAAAGCAATATGCATCAAACAGAACCGAATGATGATTGACACCATTGCGGGTCAAACTGGTGATTTTTCGAAAAGTGGACTTGATAAATGAAATAAACTGTGTATCATACAAAGTCAAATCAGGATAGTTAAGAATAGCCGAGGAAAGCGTTTCACATACAAGTACAAGTAGCCCATTCCACCTTGTACCACAGTCCATGATGGGTTGCAAAGAAGCACGAGTTTCAGTTGGCGACAACTTCTGTGAATTCAAATAAGACAACAAGTAATAGGCTTCATACTCCGAATAGCTACTAGTCACTCTTTTCCTAAATTCTTCTATTCCATAAAAGTCCAGCTGATTTGAGTCTTCAGTCGTCAACCCATTCCTGGAAGACGTCATAGGTGAACCTATTATGGTTTCTTCTTTGGAAGATTCTTCTAATGATGGAGATTCCGTAAATAGGTTACTTGCAAAGCACTCCCTTTTCAGCAGCGTCAGATGCAAAGGTACCGCTTTACAGTCGAAAAGTTCCGCAAAGATCATTATCTCATTCAATTTCCGTTGCAAGTCATTAAAAATGGTATTTGGTATCTTTTTGCGTCGAATAACATGTTTGACTACAAGCATACATAGCAACCGAACAAAGGCATCGTTCCCAGTGAGATGAAAGAATAAATAGTCCACAGCGATACTGGTACAAGAAGAGTTTAAAGCGTCTTCCATGAGCAACACCAAACTTGTTATAAGATGATTTCTTTCAATATAATTGTTCATCAACATTCTACACTTCCCAGAATGCCTTCAACGAGTAAGAATATACTCAGAACAAAAATTTGCTTACCTTTGAATCAATAATAAACAAAGATGAAAAAGAATACATAGAGAATTTTCAAGTTTCTTTTTTGTATTAGGAAAGGAAGCTACTTGATATTTAAGAATGCTTGCAACAAGAACGACTGAGCAGATCACATTAGAAGAATCTTCTTTAGAATATATCTCATCTACAGAGTCCAGCCAAACTTTGCCAACAAGATTAGGAGTTTCAAAACAAGCCACAGCAACTAATTGCGTTAAATCATCGGAAACACTAATCATACACTCCAATCCACTTTCCTTAAGTTTGCTGTGATCGAGATGCGCCATTGCCTATATACACTAGTTCAAGAAGAGCCAGCTGAAAATAAGAAGAGGGCCTTACTTTACACCAGGTTTCTAGTAGATATGGCAGAATACTATTTTGCAGAAATATATCGAGTGACTAAGTGTATATCATGAAAAACACATCCACCCATAAAAATCCTTTCTCACTACTTACCAAATCCACCAACTCCTTAAATAACTTGCATATGAAGAGAGCCATTTTTGATAAGGACGAATGTTCCGACATCTATAAAGATATTTCTTCGATAGAGACCTTTTATGAGCAATATAGACCCTTACCGCTCTCCAATTTTCAAATGTTTCTCTTACAAGTTGTAGGACAGTTACACACAACTAGACAAAAGTTGGCGCCGAAGTAAAGCAGCAGCTAAAAATTCGCTTACCTTCTCCAGGAAAGAATCTTGAAGACTGTTCAGAGGCACACTTTTTAATATTTCTATTAAAACCTAGATATAATCAACGTCGATTTCAGGTCTTCTCGAAAGATCCTCACCGTCCAACAGACTACTCCAATGTTTACCTCCTTTTTCCAGAAATCGTTTGCAAGTTCATGTAGGTTCCAAAGAATATCATGTAAAGGTGCCAATAGATAGTCTTCAAGGACTGAAAGGTCCTGTAATCTGTTTCTTATGCAAGCTCCATAGCTTTTCAAAAGATGGCGTATCTTTGGCGATAGCACCTTCCACTCATCCACGACTGTAAATTCTTTTCGAATATTTGTACTATACAGAGCAAGTTTTTCTAAGCACTCTAAAGTGCTTTGATTATCAATCTCTGTAGTCAATTCTTGTTCCAGCCAATCCATCCTCGAAGATTTCATTTGGGCGCCAAAAAAAAGTTTAAATACAACGAATTTGTTTTATATTTCAAGTTTTTCACAAATGGTTCGCTACAAAATGGACCTCGAACGTAAAGCATCTACTATTCTACCCATATCTGCAGGAATACGTATAACTGGATTGGCATATAAACTACGACACTGATGAAGTTTGCCTTCGTGATAGAGAGTTTTCGACTCTGTAAATTTAAGACCATGAGCTGTCGAAATGACAACAGTCCTATCATCATGCTTTATCAAACCCTGGTCTCGAAGTTTGGCCAAGACTGCAAGAGCAACTCCGGTATGCGGACAATTGAACATTCCTGTCCTATCTGCTCTTGCAGCAACATCCATCAGTTCTTCTTCGGTTGCTTCACCAACGACACCATCTGTATCTTTTAATGCCCGAATAGCTCGCTTTATGGATACAGGGTCTCCAATCTGGATTGCGGAAGCTAAAGTCTTCTCTGCCTTAACTGGACTATAAGTATTCCATCCACTCTAAACAAAAAGACTACAATTAAAATAGCCAAAGAATCATAAAAAATGACTTGCCATGTAGGCACGATATAAAGGATTCGCATTGTGTGCCTGTGCAACAGCCAGTCTCGGAACTCTATCGACCAAACCCAATTCCTGGAGCATTTTGAACCCCTTATAGAAAGCATAAACATTTCCTAGATTACCACCAGGAATAACAACCCAATCAGGAACCTGCCAGTCAAACTGTTGTGCAATTTCGATAGCCACTGTCTTCTGCCCTTCCAGTCTTAGGGAATTCATTGAATTGGCCAAGTAGATAGGAAACTCGCTGGTAACCTGTTGAACCAGTTTCATGCATCCATCAAAATCAGTGTCAAGGGATAATACTATACTGCCGTTAGCAATGGGTTGCACAAGCTGCGCAACGGATATCTTATCAGCCGGTAAAAATACAATGGATGGAATCCCTGCAGCTGCACAATAAGCAGAAAGAGCTGCTGACGTATCTCCTGTAGAAGCACAACCAACAGCTGAAATATTCGCTCCTTTACGTATCATATGCTTTACTTGAGATACTAGGACGGTCATTCCCAAGTCTTTGAAAGAACCACTGTGACTATTTCCACATTGCTTCACCCACAAGTCAGTCATTCCCAATTCTTTACCAAACCTTTCCGCCCAAAGCAAGTTAGTATTCCCTTCAAAAGTAGAAACAACGTCGTCGTCATCAATAGTTGGAAGGACCCACTCCTTTTTTGACCAAACACCTGAGCCGTACGGATAAACCGTTCTACCACTCCGACGATCGAAAAGATCCTTCCACTCTTCCGCAGAGACTTGTGACAGTGCGTTCATATCGTGCTGAACTTCCAATAAGCCTCCCTTCTTTGCGCGATACACCACTTGGTTCAGGTCATATTCGGAATCGTCGTCCTCGTCGAAAGCGATATACTTGGCAGAAAAATTTACTCCTTGAGGTACATGCACTTGCATTGCTCTTTTCTTCTCCTCATCAGAGAGCTTCCACCATGAAGGAGCAACGGTGCGAGGTACAGGAGCTGAGCTACCTAGTTTTCTATCCGGCGTAACAGTCATAAAAACATTTCCAGCACAACACAAGCGACGTTGATTGCGTTGTAAGAATAGGTAGTGACGTCTGGTTTTGCAACTCCCAAAAGGGTGTTGACCCACAAAACTAAACTGGGCAATCATCTAAATGGTCCGGGAAAAATACAAGTCAGTTGCTCTCGTTCAAATGCACATGAGTGGAAAGTTTGATAAGAAATGGTAAATAGCTGAACTCTAAAAAAAGCTATGAGGCTATTCTAGATGCCAATATTTCAAGCTCATTCAGAGAAAACTTTATTTGAAAACAAGTGCTTGTCGACTAGAAAGTTAAACGAAGCAGTTATCCTTTAAATAAACCGAAGTTAGTATTTATCCAGTGAAGGACTGTTTCGAGCTATTATTAGTTTAGTAGCTGATGAGTACTGTCAGATAGGTTGAATCTTTTGGAAAAGTTGCTAATAAAGATAGGTAAATGTTTTATCTATATTGTCATAAAGGGCCTTGGAAATGACAAATCAACACTGGAGAATACACTTATTATTGATATGGAAGTCACCTTGCAGAAACTTCTCCTATTCTTCCAATAAATCGAACCGTTGCGAAAACTCTATAGCTATCCTTACTAGCTTTATTAACCTATGAACTCTGTTTTCCCAAGTTTTTCTATTTCAAACTCATAAGCTATGGTGTGGTAGCCTATAGACATAAAGCGAGCAGTTCAAGAACGAAATAGTTTCTATATCCACTAGTAGTCCTAAGTACACTTCAAGGCCTTACTACAGAACAGGTGGCGATTGCCTGACCGGCGCTCATGCCAACGTGTCGTACATTACTAATTGTCGATTCGTAATGCAAACAGCGTGGCGACTGCATGTCCTCTCATTTCTGTCGAATACTCTATCAACCGACACAATCAAAGTGTCCGTTCACTTAAAAATTGATTGAACGTTGCCATGTGGTAAGCTTTTAAACAACGTTGCAATAGTTAATAGCCTGTCCATTTCAAAAAATAAAAAAAAAGAGGTTGAGCTAATTCCCTTGCTATGTGGAAGCTAATCGTGTAACCACCTTCATGCTGATTCAACAACGAAAAGACGTCTGAAAAGCTTTAAATACGTAGAATACACTTAACCAATTGCATATATCTGTGAATCGAAATTTTGCAAGAATGAAGTTTTCAAACACTCAAGTTACTATCCTCTCTATTGTAGCCTGTTGCATTTGTATCGCAGCTGCAGCTCCTCTCGTTTCTAGAATGTAGGTAACACTTTAGAGACAAAGATCAAAGATTCATTTTTTACACTATCAGGAGTTATGAGGAAGGCACTTCGTATGGATACATTCAACCTTCAGCAAGTGGTATAGCCGCAGGTGTGTCTCAAAGTGGTGAGAGCTCAGGACAAGCAGGAAACTATCAAGCCGCTTCGGGTGAATCCACGATTGAAGTACCCTCAGTAAACTATGGCTCTACTGGAATCAACTCGCTTAATGAGGAAAGTGAAGGATCTTCCGGACAACTCAGCATCCCTACTACCTCACCTGCACTAGTGTACTTCCCAACTCAACTTATCGAGCCTTCATTTGCTCCAGTTTACTATTACTATTCTAGATCTTCTTCTTCTTCTCCGTCAGGGTAGGTAGAAAATAGTCATGTATTTCCTAGAGTTAAAACAAAGCTATCCTCTTCGTAGGAGTTATGAGGAAGGCACTTCGTATGGATACATTCAACCTTCAGCAAGTGGTATAGCCGCAGGTGTGTCTCAAAGTGGTGAGAGCTCAGGACAAGCAGGAAACTATCAAGCCGCTTCGGGTGAATCCACGATTGAAGTACCCTCAGTAAACTATGGCTCTACTGGAATCAACTCGCTTAATGAGGAAAGTGAAGGATCTTCCGGACAACTCAGCATCCCTACTACCTCACCTGCACTAGTGTACTTCCCAACTCAACTTATCGAGCCTTCATTTGCTCCAGTTTACTATTACTATTCTAGATCTTCTTCTTCTTCCCAGCCACAGTAGGTAGAAAATAGTCATGTATTTCCTAGAGTTAAAACAAAGCTATCCTCTTCGTAGGAACTATGAGGAAGGTACTTCCTTTGGATATATTCAACCTTCATCAAGTGGTATAGCCGCAGGTGTAACTCAAAGTGGTGAGACTGTAGGAGAGTCAGGAAACTACCAGGTCGCATCGGGTGAATCCACTATTGAAGTGCCTTCATATAGCTACAGCCCAGCAGGTGTCAACTCGCTCAATGAGGAAAGTGAAGGATCTTCCGGACAACTCAGCATCCCTACCATCTCTCCCGCTCTAGTGTTTTTCCCAACTCAACTTATCGAGCCTGCTTTTTAATTCACTGATAGTGAATAAAGTTTGTTTGTGTTCCTCTACAAAAGATGTGTACTCAATCCAAAAACGAAACCACTAAAATGTAATTCAAAAAAAAGAGAAAATAGAAAAAGGAAAATGGTAATTAAGAGAAAAGAGAAGTTGCGGAAAAAAATATGTAAAAATTTTTACGGACGAAAAGACCACTCGGAGTGTATTTTTCCACAAATCGAAATGTTATTTAGCTATTATATAGCATTTTCACAAATCTGTAGACTGACCCTTTTCAAAGCCGTATCCTTGTGGACCGCGAAATAGAGACATAAATAAAACGTTCATGATATAGTTTTCATGTACAATCCCTAAAATAATAAACTTCGTACAAATATAATAATTAAATTAAAAACTCGTTTACAGCTGTAAATAATTCCAACAAAAGTTCAAAGTTTGGCAGCAAAATCAGCGAAATTCATTTCCGGAGACTTTAGATATTTTCTTTTTAACTTTCCAGACAACGGAGACTTAAGTTAAAAAGAACAAGTGTAATAAATTCAATTAAAAAATTTTAAACTTAATGATATTAAAATCACGAAAATCGTGCTGCATAAGCAATTTCAAGTGGAATTATAAATTAATTTGAAGGAATTTTTTGTTTTTCACAAAATTAATCTGTTCCTAAAGCTTATTAAAAAATCGAAGTGACTTCTTCAAGGTATTTTGAACAAGGAATCGAACTTTTCCGAGAATTTCAGCTTGTTTTCTTTGATGGTATCTTGAACCTCATCCATAGCAATTTATGAAAGTTTTCCATTTTTTGCAAGCAATGCAGCTTATCTCTAGCTAAAAATTTATTTTTGGGACATTAATATTGGACATCACTGAAAGGTTCCGTTTGAGCAACTTGAACCTGAAACTGCTTCCCATACTTGCTATGGTTTACCCAAATACCTTCAACTGCTAAATGCAAGCCTTCTTCAATTCTACCCAGTTTCCCGACAACTGTAACTCTTTCAGTTTCACTCTGTTGTTCGAAAGATAAATCGTCTTCGTTATTATCAAGAAGCCTTGCTTGACCTACTGCAAACCCTGAATCGTCGGGAGCTGTGAACACAACTTTTTCGACAATTATCTTTACAAACGTCCATCAAAACAACAAAACTTTCCTGTATAAAATACTTACGTGATGTCTTTCCGGACTCGACTGTCTCGTTGTTGTTTGCTCTTTCGTGTCGCTTTGGTTATTTCCGACAAGTCTCAACTGTTTACCATATTTCGGGTGAATAGTAATAAACCCAGAACCTCTGAATTCATCTCCTTCTTGCACATTTCCAAGTGTTCCTACCACCTGGATCACGCTTTCCGGAATATCGGTGGATGACGCTATTATCCGTACTTCAGCAACGGAAAAGCCAGTTTCTCGTTGTCGATAAAAGATTCTTTCCACCACTCCTTGAAACTTGTGTAGTGTTTTTTGTGCTTGTTCATCTCTGTTTGTCTTCATGTAAGGTGAAGGGGAGTACCTGGATTTCCGAGTAAAGTCGTCACATCTCAGCGATGTGGTGGAAAGGAGGACCTTTGTTCCTAACGACGGGTTATCACAAATTCCAGTATTTCTGAGCCATCTGAAACTTGTAGTAACAACCGTTGTAGTCAAGTTGCTTAAGAAGCAACTCTTGGAACAAAGTTGGCTAGTCAATCGCATCATATCCCTCTTGAATGCTTCTCTTTGTACAAGAAGAATATACACACAATTTTATCCAAAAATGTTACCTCACAAAATTAACCGTTTTTCTGAAAAGGATGTAAAAAGGAAAATGTACGAGTCTTTTTGGTTCGCCATTTGCGTTCATTTCTTTGTTGTTCTTCCAATTCTATTTTCTTCTGTTGTGAAGTCTCTAAATCACCCTTTTCTAAGTACAACAAGTCTTCACGAAACGTAGAGTCACTGGCAAGTAGATATCTCTTATCCACACTAGTAGGATATGCTTTCTCATCATGTGCCAATGACCAATAGCATTCTCCATCCACTTCCAAAAACCCAAGCCATGAACCTTTTACCTTAGCAACAGGTAAACTATCCTTCTTTTTCTTCTTCTGATGAGTCGACTCGAATGAAAAAATGGTACCTTGAAAGTAATCCGATGGATGATTTGTCACATTACCCAATTGGAGTTCCAAATAGAGTCCATTTTTGTCATCCTGGAAATGGAGTTGACCCAATGTTTCTTGATGATAACTTCCCCAAAATACTCCTATCCCAGTTCATTATAGCTTTTCTCTTATGCAAACAAAAGATGAATACTTTACCATTAAAAATATCATATGGGTTGTCCCAAATGATTTTTGTTCCATCATCAAAATATACAGCTCGAAATCCTGTATGTACCAATTTGATATGGTTATATCGAAAGTGGGCAGAATAGGTTACCCAACTATAGAAACGATATCCAGGGCCTGTTACCTGATGAAATATAGCACTTTGAGAATGGAAGATAGCAAGTTGAATAGTATCGTTGTTACCAAAACTTGGGTGACAGGAGGATGGTGACTACTTTGTTCGACATAAATCATGGTCTCCGAGTCCAATTGAGCTTGATATGTTTCGCCAAGTATTGGGTTGAGAGGTTTCATAAATACACAAGTGCAATGCATTCCTGCAATATAAAAAGCAAGCACCCACTTGAATCTTTCTAAAGGGTCGTGAGTTTGTCTTGCTGCCTTTCCTAGAAAGGAGGGCGCATAAGAAGCTGCATAAGCAAATCTTTGTAAAGCAGATTCTGGAGCACAACATTGGATAGGAAAAGTCACGTAAAGTAAGTCTCTTCCCATGATGACGTTCTTCCCTACTTGTTTGATGAGTTCAAATACGACTGACCTTTGTGCCTTTATGATATTTTCGTCGTGACAAGTAATCCCTCCAACTGAAGAGTGTGCGTTGGGATGTCTTTTATATTCCGAGTGACGGTTGTCTGATAAGTTGTCGTCTTGTTCCTTTTCTCTATCCCTTTGTTGACTCTTTCTCAAGTCGAGGACCTTTGAAATAAAGTTACCGTGTCTTTGTTTAGGTGATTCGAAACTTGTATGTCTTGAATGGTTTTCTATATACTCATGCTCCCGGAAAGTTGGTTTATCCATTTCACAACACAAAGAATCGTCGTGGAGAATCAATGGAATCCAATCGAGGATAACTTTTTCAACACATAAATATGAGGCCCTAAACCCCATAAACAACGTTCATAATGAGTTACATATAAACCACATTCCGTTTGTAAAAAGTGTTGAAATGTTGTCGCATTTGGGAATGAATACATACTTTGTTGTAAATAGTGATATTCATCTCTACTTCCAGTCAATATCATACCTAAATAAGGAACCCCATATCGAATAAATGACTCGGCAATCCTATTCAACCACCTCCTCCATCCATGAGGGTCACTATCAGGATATCCAAGTTCCAGGATGACCAACTTGGCATCTCGACTCATCACTCGACTCATTTCTGCTATTCCTTTCTTCCTGTCTTCAAAGTTACGAACTCCAAAAGCAACCATCACAGCTGCAAAAGTATCATCTGAAAAAGGCAACTCTTCTGCAACCCCTTGTTGAAAAGTAACCGACGATGCATAACGTGACAACTTCTTTTCTGCTCGACGCAACATTTCTACAGAAGGATCAATACCCACAATATGATAATCAGGACGTTGTTGTAACAACGCTAGACTCAAATCTCCCGTTCCCATAGCAACATCCAATATTTTACTATGTGGTGGAAGAAGAGTTAGATGACGTACAGCGGAACGTCTCCAAGACATATCCAAACCCTAAGGAGATCAACCTTGAGTTTGTCAATAACCAAGTTGCCTACCAAAGATATCAAACGATTCATTTCATCATAATAGTGAGCCATATGATCAAACATTTCTCCAGAACCAAACCTTTTATATGTTCTCGTGGGTTGCTTCTAAGTAAAACTTTCCTTTTAATAACGACTATCAACACCACAATCACACACCACCACCACCACCATCCCATTCTTCTTCTCTTCACAAATGTTGTTGTTTCATAAAAAAGAAAATCAACTTTTCATTCTTTATTATTATGTTGATAACATAGTAATCTTCTTCTATTCTGTCTCGTTTCTGGATAATCTAAACTAGGCTCTCCATGAGGTGGAGGTTGTCTCTTCTCTAAAGCAACATAATCTCTCTTCTCCTCTCCTTTGTAGATTTGTCTAGGACGCCATATCTTGGCATAAGGATCAGTTAATCCTTCCTTCCAATGAGCCAACCAACCAGCCGTTCGAGGTACCTTATATATACACACATATATATATCAATAATATTCAAATGGCACACTAAACTACTTACAGCTGATAAAACAGGAGCAAAATCTGACGGAAAACCCATCATTCTCCATATCAAAGACAAATAAAGATCAATATTCGGATAGACACCACGTGAAGTGTAATGCACATCTTCTAATACTTGACGCTCCAACTCAAACGCTTTATCTAATAAAACATCACGACCAAGCAACTCAGCTACTTCCTTAGCAACGCCTTTTAATACTCGAGCTCTAGGATCATATGCTTTGTAATTAAGGTGACCAAAGCCTTGAAGTCTTCTATTCTCTGACTTGCATCGATCTAAAAACGAACGAACTGAGGATGGGGAAGAATCTTGGATTTCTGATAACATCCCTATCACAGCATCGGACACTCCACTAATCCTCGGACCATAATGAGCAGCTGCTGCAGCTGAAATGGCAGTATAAGGATCCACTTTACTAGATGCCACATGACGTAACATACTAGTTGCACAATTCATTCCTAACCAGAATCATTCATTTCTGCCCTTCCTACACACAACAACAAGGAATACTTACCATCATCAGCCAACACTATAAATACTTTATCCAATAGTCTTGATAAACGCTCATCAGGAATATACAATGGTTCCGAAAGTCGGTCCAACATAGCTAAGAAATTTCCAGTAAAACTCATCGTTCCTGTGGAATCAGGTGAGTTGAAGGGTCTTCCAACACGCATACGATAAGCACAAGCTGCAATAGTAGGTACTTTCCCTAATATGCGAAATATCTGTTTGTTACAACTCTCCTTTGACTTTTCATACAAGTCAGCTCCGCGAAGAGAGGGATTGGCTTCGGGGTGAAAAGCCATCAAAGCGGCTAAAGTGGCTATCATGATCCCCATGGGATGAGCATTGTAACGGAATCTTCTAAGTTGGGCAAGTATATCTTCGTGAAGATAAGTGTGAGACATTATCAAATCCTTCCAAACTTCACTTTCTTGCTTCGAAGGTAGTGAACCGTGAATGAGCAAAAAAGAAACATCTAAAAAGTTGGAATTCTCAGAGAGAGTTTCCATATCATATCCACGATAATAAAGTTTTCCTTTGTAGGGGTCTGAATAAGAAATGGAAGACTTGGCAACGGAGGTATTGTAATAAAAGGGATCATATACCATGAGTCCTGTACCTTCCTGTAAGACTATTTTTTTCCATTCTGTAGAAGGAATATAGCCCTCTTCTTCCACACCATTTATTTCATAAGTTTTCTTCGTTTGAGGATCGATTACTTGCAACACAACCATCTCACAAACCCTTCGGCGTTATTTGTGTTTCTCTACACACACACACACACAACAAATGATGTTCAATTCTATTTCTGCCCAAAGCGTTTCTCGAGTGTTTGTCCATTGGTCTCTTTGGCCCTTTTGTCTTATCCAAATAGAAAAAGCATCATCCACACACAAGTCCATTCTATATATCTTATGTGCTCTATAGAAATAAACTAAACTAGCATACTTCGGAAAGCGCGTGACTTCCTTCTTCTTGCTACAATAGAACTAGTGAAGCGATAAAGACTTGGAAAAACTCTCTCATTCATATCCTTTGGGAGAAAGTTGCTCTTTGCCTCTAACTCGGTTACAGATTGTTCATTTGAAGTGACTTCCATTTCATCAGGAGATGAGCTTTTCGAGGCGTGTAGAACTTCATTCAAGCTGATTTCTAAATACTTTTTGGCTTCCATCAAATGATAATTCCGTCTTCGTTCATTTTCTGCATCTTGTTGAAAGTCACTAACTTCAGTTTCTAAACTTGCAACTTTGCTTCTCAAACGATCAACTTCTTCTTGTAACTTTTCCATTTCCTCTTTACTGTGTTCCTTAAGATTAGATGGTGAAACTATCTCACAAGGCTCTTCATGAATAGAATCCTTCTCTTCTGTCATTGCTGTTTCTCCACTGACTACTTTTGTATTATCCATAGAATGCATTGCACTTGGAGATGTTACAGAACAATTCATATTATCTTTTCCATCCGTAGTATTCACCTCTCCCTTGATTGCAGTGAGTTTAAGCTTTAAACGATCCAGACGACGACGGGTTTCCAACTCACGCACTTTCATTTCCTCATTCTCATCTTCTATGGCTGCTCTCTTGCGTGCTTCTCTTTCGGTGGCCCGTTTCGCTTCCTGTAACTGAACTTCTAACAATTGCTTTTCCAGTTCTAAATCACGTCTTGCTGCCATCTCCATTTCAACCTTGTTGCGAAGTTCTTCCACTTCCTTTCGCATCTTCTTCAGAATCCTGTCCGTGTCCGATATCGTTCTTTTAGAAGTAGGCAGAACTTTGTCCTGAGAGTCCATATGAATAGAAGTCTTGCAAGTATGTTCTAATTTTTTAGAAATTACTCCATCATTTGCAACAACTCCAGTGTGAAGCAACTCCAAAGATAATAGCATGGTATATAATGATACATTTGGTTCCGATCCAGTGTCTTTCGTTGCCTCTACAAGTCTATCCTTTAATACCTTTAGATATTCTGTTATCTCTTCAGAGCTTTTGCTTCCCATCATATGTTGTGAAAGAACTGTTGGATCCAACTGTTTGGTATCTCTCAACGCATCGAGTAAACTTTCTCGATCTTCTTTGGACCAACCACAATGCAACTCTATCCTTTCAGCTTCCTTGATCTGCTCAAGCAGCGTATACGCTGAAGGTCCTTCCAAATCATCTGCGTCATCTTCTCCAGTCACTTGTGAATTAAGCTCATCATTTTCTTGTTTTACTTCGCCATTATCGTCTGAATGACTCTGTTGGTCATCTTCCTGGGTAGACATCACTTTGGGACTGGATTCTCTAGCCTTATCTCTTCTCAAGTATCTTCCGGAAACCCGAGGTATGGATCGTTCCTCTTCGTCTGATGAAGCTTCCTGTTTTCCTTTAGAAGATTTCGTTATTTGTGAAGCCAACCGGCTACTGTTTCTTGTGGTTGCCGAAAGTCTTCTTCTTCTTCCTCTCGTTGAAGTTCCTTCAATCGTGTCCAGTTCTTTATCATCGTCCGTTTTATCAGGATCTACTGAGGAAGCTTCATCGTTGCTTATCTGCTTGGTTCCTTTGGTATAACTAATGTGTTTGATAGAACCTGAAGATAGACGAGTAGTTCGTTTCTTCAGATTTTTACCATCGTCATTTTCCGACTCCGATGGTTGACTATCTTCTTCCTGTTTACCTTGTTCATTTTCTTTCTCTTCCTCTTCTTGTCGTTCTTCAACCACTTCCTCCACTTGTGAAATATCTGCAGAATGTTCTTGTGACTTTTCCAACCTTTGTGCATCAGCAACCCACGAGTCTTCGTTCTTCTCAATTCTTGGTTTCTTCTTCAAAGGTGTACTGGAATCTTCTGGGTCCGATGATTGTTGTTCTTTCAGAAGCGATTCTGTGTCGCCAGTTTCACTCTCTTGTTTTCCTTGCGACTTTATATTTGTTTTCCATGAGGAAGATCCTGCTGTGCCTTCTGCTTGTAGTATGGATTCAAGCTGTTGTTTGAGTTGCGACAAACTAACACCAGCCACAAAACAAAACTCCCAACCGTTCAAGTTCAACTTTGGCTTCGACTTTCCACGACTAGAAGGGCCTTGTCTTTTTGCCAATGTGTTAACAAACGCTGAAGGCGAAAGAAAGAGTTCCGATTCTCCATTTTCCCCCTGGTATAACAAGCAGCCTTCAGAAGTCACTTGTGCTGCGAACTCTTTGGCCTTGTAATAAAACTGCACCTTTTCACCCACTTTCAACAAACCGTGCTTTGTTAATTCTAATAGCTTTTGTTGTGCTTCTTTGCTTCTAGGTGCTGCAAAAAAGAAGAGTTGAATGGTATACTCAAGAAAACAAGATAGCCAACGTACATGAAATATCGGAAACAGAAGACTTCTCCATCTTATCAGAATAACGAAAAAGGTCTTTAGCAAACTGTGTAAACATGCCAGTCAACGACAAGACCAGCAAAACGATGACACATCCGCTGGGAAACACAATCCTCCATTCTCATTTTCGACTGAAAAAGGCGCCAAAATCGATTGTCTTTTTTCTTTCGACAATAACATAGGCAATGAGACAATATCCAATTCTACAATAATGCTTTTATTAGTTGTTCAATAAACCAAGCACTTGTTTCATGAATGTGTGCTTTCATATATATATATATATATATATATATTATAGATAGGTACCCAGAACGAGGGACGAGTGGCCCCCTCCTCCTCTCTTCCTATATTCATTATTCCATTTCATTGAATGATTTTCTTTTTATTTTGTGACCGTTTTTGGATTGGTCATGTCGGAAGTGTTGGCCATTAAAGTGGGAGAGAAGCGACCTTTTGAAGATGAAACTGAAAAGGAAACGGTTTCTTGTTCGGGACATCGCATGGCTTTGTTAGAGTTGAGTGATAATCAACGTTTGCTGTCACCACCAGCAGTCCAAAACTGGTTGGACCGGGTTTCTTGGAAAAAGTCGCGTCGTTTTTGGACCCGCGAAACAACGAACACCAAGGCTACGGATGAGAAAATAAACGTTTTTAGTCGTGAAATAGAGCTTGGAACAGTTTCTGCTTGTCAGTTTAGGGAGTCTTCTGTGAGGAGTGAAAGTGATAGTGACGACAGCGTGGGTAGTGACAAGTCACTGAAGCCATTGACAAAACGACTGGCATCTAGAACCAGAGTAATGAAATGCTCCAGTTGTGGCTCACACAATTTGTTTCCTGTGGATTGCGAGGAAGATGGAAGTGGCGTTGTTCTTCAAGAGTCAACAGAAAGTGACATAAGTGCCTATATTCCTCTTAAGTTTTGGAAGATGCTCAACAGTAAAGGTGAAAATCGAGACTTTGAAAATGAAAAGCTGTTTAGTTTGAAGGAACTGAAGGAAATTGTTTCGGAGGCGTTGGCTAATAAGACTAGGCATTTGGCACATCGATACAATGCGGTCATACAAGAAAAGTTGGCTGAGCAGTTTCAGAGTTTTTCCAAGTTTAATGAAGATTACGTTTCACGCCAATTGAAGGAAAGAGAATGTAGTTATTTGTCGTAATTGTGATAATTTTAGTTTCTAGCGAGTATAAGCTCGTTCACAATATTTTTTTTGAATGGTATGTTACTAGTTGATTAGACGCTAGTAGCCATTTCAACCCAATATATGTTCATCGTATATATAAAGAAAGTTGGCTTGTGGAAATGGGTTTTTTCATATTTCACTTTGTCCAAAAAAGAAACATCACTAAAACTGAATTTCAGAGTTGGCGAATAATTCTTCTCGGGAGGATCGCCGATCGGTGTGTAATAATTGGTTTTTGGGTTGGTGATGGCCTTGAGTCAGCTTTGCAAACATTTGGTTTCTTCTGTTAGCAGAACTATTCGTCCAACCATAATTTCAACAAATAGGTCGTTCTACCTATTTGGGCGTTGTAATAATGCAACCTTGGTGACGCCACACACATTTCGTCGCACGGCGTTTACCCATGGCGCCATAGCAGCGGCTTCCGAAAGCGACCCTTCTACTGCTCCAAGTATAGTTGAATACTTATTCACATAATACTCCAGTTTAGTTTTTCTTTCTAGTCTCGAGAAATAGAAAGGCTACTAGTATGGAAACACAATCATTTGTTGTTAGCGTTGCGGGTTCCGACCGAGTGGGCATCGTACACGACTTTAGTTGGGCACTAAAAAATATTTCAGCCAATGGTCAGCGTATCATCTGATTTGGTTGTTTGCTTGTTGATTTGACTTTTGTATAGTGGAATCCAGTCGAATGGCTTGTCTTGGAGGAGACTTTGCTATGATTGTATTGGTTAGTTTGAATGCGAAGGACGGGAAGTTGATACAATCTGCGCTAGAGTCAGCGTTACCAGGTTTTCAAGTAGGGTTGTTTTGTTTTATGAAAGATAATTTGTTTGTTCTCATGCGTTGATTGTTATAGATTAGTACTCGACGTGCTTCTTCCGTGGCGGAGCGACATGTTTCTCCTGATACGAGAGAGTATGAATTATATGTTGAGGGTCCTGATTCTGAAGGAATTGTGGAAGCAGTAACAGCAGTACTTGCCAAAAAGGGAGCGAATATCGTTGAGTTAGAAACAGAAACACTTCCTGCACCGTTTGCTGGTTTCACGCTATTTCGTATGGGTTCCAGAGTAGCTTTTCCTTTTCCACTTTATCAAGAAGTGGTCACAGCACTTAGTAGAGTAGAAGAAGAGTTTGGAGTAGATATCGACTTGGAGGAAGTTGTGGAAGGAGAAGATAGTGAGGAAGATGATGATAGTCCGAATTCCCCAGTGGGAAGGCATTGATAACCTTACTTTGTGTCATACTGAGTATTTTATGTGATAAGAGTTACTGGGTGATGTATCCAACATAAAGTAGTTGAGAAACTTGTCTTTTTATTTCTCATTCATTTGTGTAGATTTGAAAATATCGTCGATCGTTTGCCAATTTACGACACCTTTTATACAAACTCTCTTTTTTTTGCCTTTTCCTCCAGACTCGATGGAAATATCAGACTTTGGCACGTGCAATAGCTTTGCCAACCTCGTGTATCCATAAATAGTACTTTCTAGTGCCATAATAGAGTAATAACTACCTTTCTACCAACTCTTGATTGGCTTCTCCTTGTTTGGGTTGTGCACCTACGTGAATGATAACCTCTTCTTCAGTTGTTTGCATTAGACCAGGTCTCTTGGATCCTGGTTTGACCAACACTTGTAACAGGATGTGATTCTCTTTTACTCTGATATAACTAGGAATTCTATTGTTATGTGCCATCAAGGGTCGTTGAAAGTTTTTTGGGCCTATTGACTTGAGAGCGTAAAGGATCCAAGCCATTCCAACAATTTCAAAGTCATCACAACAAGAAAACACAATTGTTCTCATCAAGATTTTCATTTTTTATACAAGTCGTATCTTAGCTTTCTCTAAAACATAAATCTGTTAAAACTTGCACACAATCTGAAAAAGAAGGACGTTGAACAGGAATTGCACTTTGACACTGATCAATAAGGTCGTCCACCTCCTTTGGAATCCTCTGTCGGATATCCAAAGGTACAATCAGTCTTTGTCCTTCCAATGATACCTTTCGAATGATATGTGTAGGATGATCATTTCCCCAAGGCTTCTCTCCCGTAACAAGTTCCCATAAAATGACCCCAAATGAAAACACATCAACTTTCTCATCAAACTTTTCTTGTCTCATCATTTCAGGTGCCATCCATTCCGCAGTTCCACCAAAACCAGTATTTCTCAAGCCTTTATCTAGTCGACAGGATAATCCAAAATCAGCTATCTTAGCAGTGTGTCCGTTGTTATGTGGACTCAACAAAATATTGGGTGACTTCAAGTCCATATGAATAACCCGAGGTGTCTGTGCATGAAGATATTCCATTCCTTTAGCAATATCCAATGCAATCTTCAGATAATCCTTCATAGGAAAGATTTCACCATTCGCTCTCTTTCTGGCTATGTAGCGATACAAACATCCGCCTGAAACAAATTCTGTCACGAGACAAATGTTGGTAGAACTATTCACTGCGCCTATAAACTTAACGATATTGGGATGGCTCAAACCACTCATCAATAACATCTCTCCTTTGAAATCTAAAAGAGCATCGGAAGAAGTATGATCTTCATCTTGTACCAGTAACTTTACAGCAACTACTTGGCGTTGATAAGTAGCTTTAAAAACTTCTCCGCTACCACCAACTCCAATGCGAGGACCCACTTCAAGCATGCGAGGATCGATATTCCAACGACTCTTCCATTCGGGTAATGAAGAAAGAGTAAACAAAGGATTGCTCAAAATACTTTCGTCGTCTTCAAACTCAAAATCGTTCAAATTGTTTGTTTCGAAATATTGCCATTGCTCGTTTCTGCACAAATCTTCTTCTTCTTTCATCTGCTGATGATGACCATTAAGTTCTCTTGTTGTTTCATCTTCCCACTTTTTCTCTACAATTTCACCAGAATGCAGACGTATAGTACCAACTTTGTCGTTTTTGCGCTCGGAAGAGTTCACTTCAGAAGAAACAAATTTGCAGATTGCTCTCAATATAATATCGATCTTCTGTGAACCAGCAATGACACCCTGACAATTTACTACACGTTTAACTAAGGGACTCATAGGACAGTTGTCCAATACAATAGGTAATAAAGCATTTCCCTTTGATTCCAAGTTTCTACAAAATGCGAGACTAAACAACATTTGACAACATAAGCATTCCATGAAGTTTGGAGATATCAAAGCAACAATTTTGCGAGATGAGAAAACAAGGCTCGAAAGACTTTTGAAGATTTGAATGCTGTTGGCTCCTGAATGTACACTAAATACGGAATGAATCAATTTCTCTATAATGACTGCAATATGTTTTGAAAACTTACCTAGCTACACAATCTATACTTTGTGAACTAGCTTTCATGTCTTGCAAACTGTCTTTGATGATTTCAATTTGCTTCATTTCCGATTTCCCATGTAACAATAAACAATCGTACAGAAAGTTTTTCCGTTCCATCTTTTCCAAAACAATGGGATGATTGTCAAAATTATGCCACTCTTCTCTTGCCCTAGCAAAATGACGCCTTTCTGACTCAATCGATGTGTTTTCAGGTAATAATATTTTGATACTCCTAAGGGGAAGTCCACATGCTGCGTATACAGTAGCAACTTCCAAAATCGCTTTCAAAGCATCCACACGATAGTTCTTACAACGATACAGATCACCTCCACATAAAGGAATCAAAATACTCTTTGCTGTCATATTGTATGCAATGAGAGCAGCCAAACAGCGAAAAGTATCCAATACAATTTGAAATAGGGGCTCCACATTGCCACTTTTTGTATCATGGAATAACATTCTTTCGTATTCAAATCCAGGAGGGTTTAGTTTCTCCTTTTGTAACTTGCAAGAAATCCAACAATGATAACTTTTTCTAAATGATTTGAGGTCTTTGGACAGTTGCTGAATTTTTTCAATATTCAAGCCATGTGCTTCCAGCACATTACTGCAATCAAACACTTGAGTGCTTTCTAAAGGATCACTATTTTCCAAGTTGGACGCTCTCGCAACTAGCAGATAATCAACTCTATCTCGACGAGATAGCTTATCTATTCTTCCACGATGGAGTTCAATCTGAGTTTTACCATCTCCACGATGTACCGTCAGAAAGTCCAGTTGTTCAATTCCTTCATTATTACTGGCCATCTGTATTTCGTTATCTACAACCTTCTCACAAGCAGAATTACGAGCATTGATGATTGACCTACTAGAGATTGAGCCAGTTTGTGTCACAGTTCTAGAAGATACTGGCGAAATCTCAAACTTGAAATTGACATCACTCTTCTCTGATAGACTCGATTGCGATCCTTCTATTCTTGGAGTTATACATATGGGGCTGTCTAAGCCATTAAAGGATTTGGAGAGCTCTCCAAAGTCTCTAGAAAACGCATCCGAAACAGAAGACGAGGTTAGTTTGGAAAGTTCGCTGGAGCTAGAAGCACGAATTCCGCTCATAGTTTCGGCAAAACGTCCCGGTGTTCCCGATATTAGAGCTGATAGGTTCCTTATCCCATTTCCAATATTATAACTGACTCTCTTTGACAGCACATTATTATTCTTTGGATACGAGCGATGAAGAACACTTGAATAAGGTTCAGGTGATAAAGAACGTGGACTGTTATGACCTGGATAACTAGAAGATAAACTATTCTCTAATATTTTTGAGTCCCAGTTGTTATAAGTGTCTTCGATAGCTTCATGTCTTCTTCTATTTGAGCGTGTCACTGGAATAGAAGGAGATAGTTGGGGTTGTTGTGCTTGCGTATTTTGTTCTTCAAGTCCATTATTTTGGAACTTGACTTCATTCGTACTCTTAGAGTTGTCCTTGCACTGCCTATTACAGTTCCTAAAGAAGGTAAATCTTCCGAACAATGATTCCCTTGAGTCTTCCTTTGTTCTTTCTACCGATTTCGACCTTTTCTCTCTTCCTCTCAATGTCATACTATATAAATACAGTGCAACTATTCTCTCGGCATCAACAACGTGTCATATATGTATTCTCCACCAGAGTCACTCTCTTTATAATAGGTCAGTCACCACAAACGCCTAATATATTAACCTCTATATGCAATATGACTCAATTGAAATAATATGAAATATAAGGTTCGTTTGTATCCTATTCGACACCGAGTAGCGTTGGCTTCAGCAAATGAAAAAACTCTTTGGCGCGAAACATGCTCCATTTGGCGCCGTTACAAAGTTGATCTACGTGTCTCTCCTTCAGGCCATCTGATCTGGCCAGCAAAGCACGAAATTCACAGGGACTAAAGCCATTCTATCCAATCCCTTCCCGCCATGTTTTGCTACTTGTTTACTCGCTTTACATACAAAATACAAGTAGGATACAAATAGAAGAAAGTTTTAAAAACTATTGTAAACTTCCAACTATATATAGGGACCTTGGTAGATAGAACTTTTGGAATACTTGAAAGGTTCTCTATCACGAATTGATTGGGATATCATATAAAAAGCCTGTTATTCAGTTGAAATATTTGCAGAACCTTTGCTTATTCCTCTACATCGAAATCGTATTATGTACACAAGTAGCATAAATAGTAAATTGTATATTCCTCCGTACGAGTATCTATCTTAATAATCAGTTGATTTATAAAACTTTGACGAGATTCGGGTTTCTTTATCAGATATCAATTACTTGGTAGCAGTAGAATCCTCGGTCATATATACTTGTAAAGAGCACACATAGTAGTGATTGCGGGGTTTTCTATTGCAAGCTAATTTTATCTTCCCACTCTTTCCTTTCATGGATATAAGATGCACATCTTCTACAAAAAGCTTTTACTCGTGTCAAGTACACAGATTGCTGTCTTCTATGAAGTACATGTTGCTCAAAAATTGGCTTTTTACAATCTCTCACAGTCATTCTTCATTGACAAGGATATACTCGAAATGGTAGTTCATAGCAATAGAGTTGGAGAACCACCCAAAGAATTTCCAAATATGTTTTTTTTAAAATGGTAAGCACTTGTTCTGACAGTTTTTTTGATAAAACTATTTTTCCTTCTCATTCTTGATTTATGTTCAATTTGATGTATTCTTCAGAAAGCCCTACAATGTTTTGAGCGGTTTGCATACAAGATTGTTGAGAAAACAACAACAATTCCTTTAAAAGTCTCAAGATTTGACAATTACCTAAATATCAGTAAGATGAATCTTGTGTTCTTTTGACACAATTTTTAGATTGTTCAATATATTCCTCCGTCAACATCTCGAAAATTCTGCCAACAAGTTGTGTTGCTTAGAGAGCCGAATGGAACTATTATTTCCAATATGAAAGGTTACTTTCATGATGTTTTGTATCTAGATATTCTGCAATGACAACCATATTTCATGTTATTCAAGTATTGGAATTTTCAAAAGGAGAATAGACAAATGCAGAGACACATATCATCTTTACTCAGTGCACAAACCGTATGTAACAAATCAACTCGTTCTATTCTTTCATTATGACAAAGTAATAGTCTTCAATGCTTGTTGGAATGCCGTCATGAATACTTCAACGTCATCATGTTCTAAAATGAGTGCTGGTCGAAGTCGACAAGTATTCTTTCCGCAACCCCCAATATTCACTCCATACTGTCTTAAAACATATATGAAATGATCTCTTTCTTCTGAACTTTTGCAGTCCCAAGCCAAAAAGGTACCTTTACCTCTTACATTCTTGATTTGTTCTGGAAATTGGTTAGAGGCCTCCATCAAACCATTTTTAAGATATTCTCCCGTATGTTTTACTCTTTCGAGAAGCTTCTCTGAGTTAATCGTGTCTACAATTGCTTTGCAGTGCAACATACGAAGAGGGTCACCCTATACATCAATGTTCAATGGAGACTCGTTTTTAACACAAGATTGGCTTACCATCCAAGTTCCAAATATACGAGAACATTGAGCAGGTCTAAATCCTTTTCTAGCATAATATCCAGATACTTGCATTTTCTTTGAAAAGGTAACCATGTCAGGTGGAGTTGAGAGTTCCCAAGCTTCATGAGCCCAAAAAGTACCAGTTGCACCACAACCGGTTTGAACCTCATCGACTAGATCACAAAGGTCACCGACTGAAAATAAATATAAGATAATACAAACCTATAAAAGCCACATCATTTTGAAGTGCAAGATCTCGCAGCTCTCTAAAAAAGCGTGGAGAAGCTGATAAGTCTCCACCTTCAGACAAGATAGGCTCCACAATAACAGCAGCGATGGGAATAGGATGCGTAGATAGAATGTTGGCCACACTTTTCAGACATCGATCTTCTTCCTTGATATTCATCAAGTCTTGTTTCCCTTGCAGAGGATAACGAAGATTTGGAAATGGAGCCATAGGCCATTCAAAAGATGGGAAGTCTACCTATCCATATATACACAAAAATACGTATTATACATATGGCAAAACTGTAGTATCAAACTTCTTACCTTATACAATGCTTTGGATCGAGTAGCTGACAAGGATCCCAGAGTTCTTCCGTGAAAAGAGTTTTCAAAGGACAAAATAGCCAAGGAAGGGCTTCCAGGAGGACGATTGTGCATAGCAGACTCTAATTCTTCTATCGTAGGCTCAACTCCAGGACGTTGTTTTGCACGCTTCCATATAAAAGCTGCCTATTATACAGTTTAAAAATAAGCCTTGTGAATGGAATCTAATTACCTTGAAAGCATTTTCATTTGCAGAAGTACCACAACCGCAAGTAGTTACGACTTGTTCGAGTCCACGAGGTGCAACATTTTGTAAAGTCTGTTGCAGTACTTGTGGCCACTGAATGGGTGGATTGATTCCGAGTGCTGGTCTTTGTACTAGAAATGACATAAATTCTGAGTTATTTTTCACTGCCTGAATAACAGCTGGGTGATTGTAACCCAAAGGTAAGGATGCTATTTGACAAAACATATCGAGTAGAATATTTCCATCTGCATCAACCAAATAGTTTCCTTGACTCTATTAAGCTATGAATTCAAATATATTCTAACAAAAAAATAAAGCTAGCTCACCTTTTCGAAATCAATAAAGAAACTGACTGTTCTACTTTCCTGAATAGTGTCCAATTGAGCACTCAATTCCTTTGAACGAGGTCCTGGTATCTCAGTAAGTACAGAAGGTTTCAGGCTGCCATGATAGGCATTCTCCAAATGACTTAAGGCTCTTGAAAACCTTGAGAGTTTCCAATTCTTCATTTCCACAAATACCGATAGAAGAATGGAGTCTTCAACCTTTCTGTTGAAAATTTCAACAAGACCCAATCGACTCAAATCCATCGTCCATAGGTCGTTGCATCTGATGACCATTGGATAAAGAAAATCTTTGAGTCGCTTTATTTTCGTTTGATATGACGAAAAGTAGAATGAAAGAGAAATGTGGATAATCAAGTTGATTATTTCTTATGAAATATGATGTTTTCATTCTATAAAGAATTAAGCCCATTAGAGTTGCTTGCAATCCAAAAACTATAGTTAGTATTAACAGAACACTGAAATGATAATATCCATAAGATTACTTGTAAACAGCTGCCTAGAAGGTTTAGTCCCTCTATTTAGATTTTACAACAATAAACGACTCCTTCCTTTTGCTAAGAATGACAAGGAAACTTAGCAATGGCAAACATTCGACTGAAGAAATGAGATCCACTCTTTATAGAAACAAGCATATTAACGAATTTGTAAAACTTGTGTTTGTTACTTGACTCTACAATACTATTCAGAAAAAGAGGAATAAAGAATGGGAGAAACACAAGGTTTTATTGATATTCTATTAAAGAGAGAACATTTTCAGGGTGAATTGATTGGACTGAAAGACCTGATAACTGTAAAAGTATAACAATTTTAAGGGGTTTGGTTTGATGAGCTCCATATTTGTATGAAGCTTATTACTACTCTGTTTGTGTTGTTTCTTTTGCCAATTCTTGGAAGAGCTGTGTTGAGCTAACTATTATCTGGTAGAATAAGGACAGCTGAAACCAGTAGCTGTTGGTCGAGAAACGTTGGACCTATATTTTTTACTCGTCAAATACCCTTAAAGAGTGTTTCTAATATATCTTGAGTTACTTTAGTTTTAGTATTTGGGGAGTTTCGTTGGATGGTTGTTACCCAGAATTGGAATACGATTTCCTTGTCGCGTAAAAGACACGAGACTTGGAGTGCGTTCTTAGAATAGAAGCTCCTCTTGTGTTGGAAGGTGACTCGGTATTGATGTTTGAAGAATTCACTGTTATCACGATAGAGAAGTGTCTACGGAACCAAAATAGAAACCTACATTGTCGAAGGACCAAGTTGAAACAAACTGAAGGAATATCTTTGAAAAGATTATTTGGCTTCCTTATAGTGCTCAAGAGAACATGATACATCTGGTTATGTGAATAGACTTTGTATGTTAACCAAACCTTGTCACATAGTTTTGCATTGGATAGAAGACTATTCGATCCTTAATTTAGGTTTTCTGCAGGTTCCATAGAAATTCTGGAAAACGCAACCTATCTATGCTCGTGGTATAGGAGACTACAAGTTCTTAAAATATTGGGACTACAATATCGCATAGAAGAAGAAATAAAAGGCCTTGAGTCCTCCATGGACTTTAGAGTGGCCCTGTTGAGAGGTGTTGGACGGCGTGTACCTGCCTCTTATGTGAATACTTGTATTAGAAATAATATCGTCATTGTATCTTCTTATAATGACCCAAATGATAAATTGATTGGCTTTGGAGTTGTTCCAAGAATTATTCTCTGTTGTTCTTAATCCGGTATGTGAAATTTTATTACGAGGTGGTGTTATTCATTTATGGTTCTTGAAAACCTCGGGTGAAGATTTAGTGTTGTTGTAAGCAGTTTTCACCGAGTTTTGGTGGATTATAGCAGTTTATATGGAAACTTTGCTTGGACAAATATGTCTGTTGAAATGTCGAATTTTTCTGAATGCATCAAAATGCCTTTGCTCAAGAGTTGCTGGTCTTTCATAGTATTTTAAAAAGGTTGTGGACATTTCCTCCTCTTATAACCATTTTTCGTTTGTTAGCCAATATATTCCAAGAGAAAGGAATGGAGTTGAATCTGGCAAACTATTATGAGTGTAACTGTTGGAACAAATTCTTTTCCCTTCATATTCTCCGAGCTTATTACTGGGACAAGTTGACACGCTATCCATGAGTATTATCTTGGGTATATTTCCAAGTTACTATGACCAGCTACTCAAAGTTTTTTAAAAGAAGAAAATGCGATCAATTGGGTCACTTTCACTGTGTTATTAATTCAAAACTCCGCTAGTCTTGTCTCTACAAAACTAAAAGCTATAGAGTAACGAAACAAATGTTCCATTTGAGTATATCAAGATGTTGTCTTCTTATATCGGCATATCTTTGGCATACTTGGATTCTTTGATAAAGAATAGAAACAATTATAAACTTTTGTATGCATACTTTGAAGCTTTTATCGGTAGCCCATCACCACTTGTGATAAAGTCGTCTCCAATTCAATGATTTATTCAACCATTCCACAATGAATTACGGTAACTAGTACGGGATCTCAAACAAGTAGCAACTCTGCATAAAATGAGGTCGGCATACACACCAACCACTCTGCTCTCTTCGTTTTCAGTGGTCCGCAGATTCTCTATTAGAAAGACTGTCCTTACACCCACATTGCTCTTTAACAACTGGAAATATCCAACTCAAATTCACAAGTTGTCAAATAATGTCCTTTAAAGGAAACCAACAGAATACTGACAAACCTTCGTGCTTTTGGAGTTGCATTTGATCTCCTTTCCATCAACAGAAGAAAGATTCGGAATTGAAGACGGATAGTGTCCACTTTGATTTTCTTTCCAAGACAATTTCTTTGCCCTTAACGACAAGTTGAGGTCTTTATTTTCTGTCGTATCGTACAATACAGTATAGCTCATCAGACGGTTTTCTGTCATCAATGAATAAATTCTATCGTGGGTGGGTTATACCTTTTAGTCAAAGGCATAGCTTGTTGGACATACCAATGGAACCAATAAAAAAACAAAAGAATTTAGAAACATAAGATCCAATAAACTCAAAAATATCTCCAAAAACTTTTATCGTTTCAACGACAATCGTTAATTGGCAGGTGCACACTTTGAGGTAGCATTCAGGTAAAGCAACGTAACAATAATCACTAAATAAACTATCAGAGTTGAGCCTAGTTGGTCAAAGGGCAAAACCAGGCACTTCCATTTTTGGAGAATATCTTTACTGAAAAACACTTGAAAAAAAAAGTCCAGATTGGTGTTGGGAGCTACCGACATCAATTTTTGCTCGAAACCCATTGTATTTGTCTATCCATACAAAAGGAATGAAGGAATCATTCCTTAACCAGTAATGAACAAAGTCATTTTCTACAAGGTAAAGAGAAAATGGGATGCAACAAGAAAGACATTGCAAATCTTTCCCAATTGTCCACATCGACAAGCCGATCCTTTCCTGTGGACTCGATTCCACTTGAGCGTCTGGAATGAAAATCAGCTTCTCTTATCGCTTTGTCTGTCTTTGAGACTCGCTGTCAAGTGATCATGGATTGTAAGCAAAATAGCTTAGAGTTTGTTGATGAAGGAATATATAACTGTCAACCACAGGAAGAACAGGCTCAGTCGTCTAAAGTTCAGTTGCCCGAAGCAAACAATGCTCAGGCAGAATTAGACCCTGATAAACTTCCAGAAAGCTTGAAAAGCAACTGGGTTCTGGTTGTCATTCTATTGGTTGCCGAGACAGAATCAGCTTCTCAGCTTTCGTTACCCAGTGTTGTAATGAGTATGGGTTTCGTTCCTGGAGCAATCTTTCTAGTTTTCTTCGGAATTATGGCCATGTATACCGGCTTTCTGATATCCGACATATGGAAGTCACATCCACTTGTGCGTAACTATGATGAAGTCGTTGGAATTCACTTTGGGAGAATTGCCAAGGAAGTAGCTTTATGGTGCCAAGTAACTCTTTTGTTTTGTTTCGTTGCTGCAAACATTATGGTTTCTGCACAAGCATTTTATATTGCTGCCAATCAAAAGACATGTTACATTGTGTTTTCCGTGGTTGTGACATTGATAGGTATTTTAATTTCAGTTCCTCGAACATTGAAAGGAGTTGCATATTTGTCCATATCTTGCATTATCTTTGTAGCAGTCCCTGAAATAATGACCTTGACAGCAGTTGCAGTACAGAACTCTCCAGAACCTGACCTATCCATTGGAGCATCCTCGGGTGCTTCAGCTTTTGCTATAACAAACCTCGTTGATTTCTTTGTAGCTATTTCGGTACGTATTATTTTATGTATATTTTCATATCAACTAAGGAATGATTGCAAAGGATATCGTTTTTGCTTATTCGGGGCACCTCCTGTTCTTCAATTTGATAATAGAAATGGGAAATCCATATGACTTTAAAAAGGCAGTTTTTTGGGGATTCACCATTAATATTATCAACTACCTTATTATAGGTCTAGGAATTTACGCATATACTGGAAATTATTCACAAAGTCCTTATATACTTAACATTATCAGCTCGTCTGTGCGTAAGACAGCATATATGTTAGAAGTT